AGTTTCAAATGAAACTGCTATGGTGATGAATCTCCTCCTAATAGGGCTGAAGGGGGAGATTGTTAGGAAAATGGGGTTCAGTCCCATGTAAGTGGTTTTGGACCAAGTAAATGCCATAGGCCTTGATCTTTTATTTTACACAGAGCCCTAGCTACTTAATAAAAAAAAAGTGGGGTTGTTTTAGGTGTGTGTCGAAAACCAAGCAGAGAAAGAAGAAAAGCCAGGAAAAGCAAAGAGAGAAAAAGGAGAAGGGAGAGTTGGTTGAACGGAAGTCGATCCGTGGTCCGATTGAGTTAGAACCTTGTCAGGAGGTTTATGATTCAGAGTTCTACATTCTGAACGGTGAAGATCGAGTTTGAAGCTCTCTAAGAACAAATCCAGGGTGTATTTGTTGAGTCACTTATTTGGTGAGATTTCTCCAATTGTTTCTTTAGTTGTTGATTAGCTTTAGTTTTAGCTAGAGAAGAACTTTGTATAACTATTATTTGATAGTGAAGATTTTTTTGGTGGCCCGTGGTTTTTTTCCTCTACACTGGAGGGTTTTCCACGTAAATCTTGGTGTGCTTTATTTTTCCTGCGTATTTGATTATTGATTGTTGTATATTGCTTCTGTATTATTGTGATTATTGCTTCAGGCGCAACAAGGAGAAGGTAGCTTTGGTTCTGTATATAAGGGGGCTCTTGAAAATCATAATGGGATAGATGTTGCCATCAAGGTGTTTAATCTTGCGCGTACAGGAGCTTCTAGGAGTTTCATTGCTGAATGTGATGCTGAATATCAGACATCGAAACCTTGTCAAGGTTTCAACTGCCTGTTCAAGTGTTGTTTCCCATGGAAATGATTTCAAGGCTCTAATTTATGAATTCATGATTAATGGAAGCTTAGAGAATTGGTTGCATCCATCCGTGTCCAACCACGGACCCAAATGGCAGAAAAGCACTTAACTCTATACCAAAGACTGAACATAGCAGTTGATGTCTTTCGTGCATTAGAGTATCTCCATTGTCTTTGTGAAACGCCAATTGTTCATTGTGACCTCAAACCAAGCAATGTTCTACTTGATGGTGAAATGGTTGGTCATGTTGGTGACTTCGGGTTAGCGAAATTCAGATCAGCTGACATGCAAAATTACTCAAATAACTAGTCAAGCTCTCTTGGATTAAGAGGAACTATAGGTTACGCACCATCAGGTAATAAGTACAAAACTACATGAACATTGCTCGATTTAATTCATCATAAGAAGAGCTCGGTTGAAGGGAAGTTTGTGTAAGATCTCTTTTAATGTTATTATTTCACTTGTTTGTGATGAATGAATGCAGAATATGGCTTGGGAAGTGAGGTTTCAACTCACGGTGATGTGTACAGCTATGGAATCCTTCTATTGGACATGTTTACAGGAAAGAGGCCTACTGATGATATGTATAAAGAGGGTTTGAACCTTCACAACTTTGTCAAGGAAGCTATGCCAGGACGAGTAGCAGAGATTACAGATCCCATTCTTCTTGGAGAAGCAATTAGAGAAGAAGCGGTCAATAATAGAGTCATCGATGCTTGAATTCAATATTTGAAATTGGCGTTTACTTTTTCAAACGAGTTGCCAAACAAGCGAATGAACATGAGTGATGTTGCTGCACTACTTATTTCTATCAGAAACAAGCTTCTTCCAGCATGAGCAAGAAAGGCCAAGGATAGATGCAATTGAATCAGCAGGTAATAATGTTATCTTATCTTACGTGCTCAAACCAAAGCACGAACTCAATTGCAATTTTCACTTGAAACTCCAGTTAGATCATTTTTAGAGTAAATTTTATAATTTGGGTATTTGATAATTTTCCTTCTTTGACAGCAGCTTAAGGTGGATGACTTTTAGCCAACATGAAAGCTGATTCACGTAGGGAGGTTGCAGTCTTGCAAAGCACTACTACTATTAATTTTCCAGTTTTTTACTGTACTAGTAATGCTATGTTATTGTTCTATATAGTTGTGTTTTAAAGTAATTTTCTAGTCATTTTGGCCTAATGCAACAAGTCTAGCTGCAATTTCCCCCACAACACTTTTTTTGACTCTAATCTTTCGAAAATAAGTCTCGTTAAGCAAAGATTGCAAAGAATTCATCTTTGCAAATGACAATATGTAAAATTACAGTCAAAGGACCATCCTGGACATGATTAAAAATGGGAAATTGATTGCACAAAGTGAAAAGCTCAAGGGTCAAAAGAAAAAAAAGGAAGGAACAAGATGCTTAAGATCATATCAAATGATCCTGTCTCATTATTCATGAAGATTAGCGGCCCACAACAAATTTACAAAACCTGGGAGTTCCAAGCAATCTACAACAAAAATATTCTAGTTGTGAGAATATACAGATCCTCTCATTTCTGTACACCAAATAGGAGTGACAATTTGGATCAAATTCGGATCAATTTTTGTAAATAACGCATAAAATTATAAATTTTTAAAATCCGATTTAAATCGAATTTTTATACAATTCATTCTGAATTGAACTTTACCATTTTAGTTTGGATCGATTCATCGGTTTTAAATTTTTTTATATATTGCTTTAATATAATTTTTAATACATTTAAATAGATTAAGGTATAAAATAATTAATTTTATTTTATAAAATTTTAAAATATATAAAAATTAATAAAAATATAAATTCGATTTGATTCGATTTTTTTTTATTTTTTAATTTTTAATTTAAAATTTGATTCAAATATAATATATACAATTCATATCTAAACTTAATTCAAATTAAATATAAAAAAAACTCAAATCTAATATTATGATTTCAAATCGATTTTTAATTTTCTTAATTTTTTTCTCTTCCCTCATGCCAACCGGTAGTAGAAGAACTTGGTTAAAGACTAAGCATATGGATTGAAATGCTTTAGCTTTTCTGCATTTGGTATTACTACTACTACATGAAGAGAGAATTAAATCTTCTACATGGATCTCTATCCACAGTTCTCATTGCAATTGACAATTAATTTAAAAATTTTATATAAATATCTTGAATTGAAATTATTAATATTAGCAATTAATAAATTATTTTATAATTTAAATGAAATAAATAAAACAAAATCGTAAATTAGATTCAATCTTAATTTCTTTATAAATCCCTCTCCTCAAAGCAATTTGATGCAGAATATGGCCATTAACAATTAATTTTTATTATTCATTTTCTATTTTAAGATTTAAATTCTCACTTCTTTTGTTAAATAATGTTTGCAAAATCATTTTGGTCTTTATATACTTGTAATAATAATTTAAAAGTAATAAAGGACCAAAATGTAAATTAGAATTAGTACTCCTAAATGTTTGTTATTTATAATTTGGTAGTCCTAATTTTTTTGGTATTTAGAATTATCTTTTATAATTATTCTATCATAATGACAAGTAAATTATCCCATTAATTCCAATCCGTCATCTGTTTTTGCTAGGCCTCCTTATGGTGAAACGTTCTTCAATAATGCAACCGGGAGATGCTCCAATGGCTTAATAATGATCGATTATCTTTGGTATTTACCATTGATTGGCTTTTGTTTTTCTAATTTCTGCCTTTTTCTTTTGCCAAAAAACTTATTAAATTGAGATTCCTAATTGTCTATCTAATAATTGAACTGAAATTATATATATTGTACTTAATTAAAAACTTAGTCTGCCGAAGTTCTCTTTTTCAACGCCGAATATTTATAATTCGATTTTAATTGAATTAGTTAATCGAATTAATTTAATTCAATTAATTGATCGTTCGATTAATCGGTTAATTATCAAATTGATTTCAGTGAGTTAACAAAAATTATTTTAGAAGAATTTTAGATTTCGATTATTTCGATTTTTGAATTGAATTAATCAAAATTTTAATCGAAATATAACATAATTTAAATATAAAATAAAAAATATATGAAATAAATCATTTAATTTCATAAATTTCATATAAATTGATATTTGAATATTTTGTTGAATAATTTTATTTAATTTGTTTAAAATATGAGAAGTTAAAAGTTTAAAATATAATATAATTTAAATTTATTTATTATTTGATTAACCAAAAAAATTAACAAAATTGACTTAATTAAATTCGATAAATTAATTTTTAAATTTTATAAATTTGATTTAATTTACCAAAAAAATAAATAAATAATTTAATTTAAAATTAATCAAATTGACTGAACGAACACTCACGTTGAATGGAGATCGTGGTGGCGTGAGTTTTGCGGTTGCTAGCTCTACTGCCTTACCTGTGAAAGTTCTAGCCAATGATTATAAGGTTGTAGCCCCAGCTACCAACACCTCTCTCACTAGGCAGCTTGATTGGATGTTTATTTCAATGAAACATGTCCTGAACATGAACATGAAAGTCTATATTTGCAAATGATTTTATTTTTGCTTGATTCTTATTCACTAACAATAAAACTAACATTTATGCTACAAATATTTGTCATGTTTGATAGATTGTTTCAAGAGACTTGAAACAGCTCTTTTCATGGTTGGAGAGATTGGAGGGAACGACCACGATTATGCCCTCTTTCAAGTAAAAACCATCGAGCAGGTCGAGTTCATGGTGCCTATGGTTATTCAAGCCATAAAAGATGCTGTAATGGTTAAATTTTATTCTTTAAAAGGATTTTGATTATATCAATTTTTTCTTAGCAAACTTGTTACAATCATTTCAATTCTCACTTCACTTTCTCTTAGCTGTAGAGGGTCGTTGGTTATGGTGCTACTGAGTGATTGTTTCAGGAAACTTTGGAATAGGTTGTTTACCCATCTATCTTACAGGATTCCAAATCAATGACTCCACTTCTTATGATGAATCTCACTGTCTCGAGGGCTTGAACAACTTGTCAGTGTATCACAAAAGAGTTGACAAAATATCATCCTAATGTCATGATAGTATACGATAACTAATATAATGCATATCTACAACTTTTGCGCAAAGCTAAACCACTTACAGGACTCACTGAAAATAAAATTTGAGAAAAATTAACACGTATTTACCAAAATAAAACCCCAAAAGTTGTCATGATCGATAAGCAAATAATATGTTAAGACTAGCTTAAGAGATTTTAATTTCAAAAGGATTATGAAAAATCAGAAAAGTGTATGAACATTTGTAAACATTTGTGGTGCTTATTTCACAAATGGAAGGGCTAGCATCACCTATACACAAACAGGAATCGTGTATAACTAATCCTAGAAATTGTCCTTTGCTCGCCGGATAACACCTAAGGCTTCTGCCTCAGTCGCGGTGGCTGGAATATCCAAAGCCTGCCTGATTTCTGAGCTAGATGTGCGAAGGAATGGATTGCTTGCCTTCTCCATCTTTAATGTGGTTGGAATCTGACACAGCATATTATACTTAAGTTATCATGGAAAATTTACATTCAAAATGCAACATCAATGCGTAAGGATCGAGTCAAGACACAGACAAGTGCAATTCCATACGTTGTTGAATCAACACAAAGGATGTACAGCACACAGCCAAATCATGTAGGGAAATAGCTCATATCAAGATCACCAAATGGAGATTCTATCTAAACCAACTGATATAAATAGGTTAGAGCTGAACCAACAGATGGTACCACATCAAAGACAACAAGGAAAACCATAAGACTCAAGAAGTATTATCAATAGGATAGGTGAGCAGGTTGACTGCAGTGACACAAATGGAGGGTGCCAATGAGTCCTTAACACATCTGTGCAAATGTATAGAAAGCAAATGCAAAAGCCATCACATTATGAATAAAAAATATATACAGCACACAAATGTTCATTTTTGACAAATTTCAGTATCTAATCCCAGATGAATTGTCAAAAAAAAAAAACACACACACACAAACACACACAATTAGCACTCACCAACATAGTTACCCCTGAAAAGTTAAGTAGTTAAAAAGAAAGAAAATCCCAGAAATTACCGTAGGTAATCCCTTATTGCGAAGGTAAGCTACATGGGCTGAATAAGCTTGGAGTGCCTCGTTCTTGGGTTCTATAGATAATGCAAATTTTGAATTACTCTGCCAAAATAGGTACATACATGGTTAGTGCCTTTCAGAATTCGAAGCCTGGGAAAATTATGTGGTGTCCAAAAGATAAATAGACTAACCAAAGTATATTCATGACCACAATATATATTTGTATCATCGGGAAGAGACATGATCCTCTGAAGGGAAGAAAGCATCTGCCGGATAGAACTCAGTCATTAAGATGTGTATCAAGAACAACAAACGAAAAATTGCCAGATTATAAAGGATCATGACATATTCCCGTCATAAACCTACAGTTAGTACAGTTAAAGATAACACATTCAAACATAAAAACTACTAAAAAGAAGACCCCCCACCCCAAAGACCAAGTTACCTTTAATAAACGAACTACATGTATAATTTCGGTTAATATATTCCCATGCACCACATTTCCTTTGGAAATTATAAGGAAAACTGCAGAAAGAGATGATTGAACTACTACTTCACAGAAAAATTACTCTACCATTAATACTTCAATTTTTATCACAAAATGATGACTAAGAAATTCAAAGCAAAATTAATGAGAACAAATGATGGGCATTTTTTTTTTAGATTTTAACTTCCAAACGTGAAACACTTATTCACTAGTAAATCTTTCAAGTCAATTTCAAACTCTATATCCTATTATTCCCCAACAATAATTTGCAGCACTTTGATAGTGGCATTCATTTTCTATAGATAGTAACTTATTTACCATCTGTTGATATTTAAACATTGGAGTAACTAGTTGAGCTTCTTATTTAGATTTAAGAGGTGAAATAGTTGCTCTTCGGGAGTCCACTGTCAACTAAGATATCATAAAGTCTAGAAGTCAAAATTACCTGCTCCGGGGTTCCTTCAAAAAGCTTGCCACATGATAAGCTGAACAAAGTGTCTCCGGTAAATATTGCTCCAGAACCCGGAAAATAGAAGCTGATGTGACCTGCATGCGAAAAATTACTAATAATAATAATAATAATAATAAAGAAAGGGAAATGAGAAGGTGCAACCTAACAAAAAAAACGCAGAACCACAATCATGACTTTTCTACATTCATGTATTCTTTCATTGAATTTTGAAATAATAAAAAGTATCTAATTCACACAATTTTTTATGGAGCTGACTAATGAATATAACCTCGGGTATGACCAGGAGTTTCGATGACATGGACCTCATGACCTGCAAACATCCACTTGTCCCCATCATTTAGAACAATATCAATTCCAGGAATCCTATCCTTGTCTATTCCTGAACCAATAACCTACATGAGAAAGAACAAGTATCAGTGTTATTTCTATTACATAGGTCATTGTATAAAAGAAATATTTGATTCAAATGCCTTTAGAAACAGTTAAAAACCTTATTTATGTCATTGTCTAAAAACTATTTGCAAAAAAAAAAAATCCATTCCTTAAATTGGTAGAAGATTTATTTAACGAGGGACAAAGCAGAGCAAGCATTCCACAACTCCACTTCCACATGCATCGCAAGCTAACAAACATGGACAAATAAGGACAATGTACAATTAATACCCACCATCATTATGAGCAAGATGCAAAGACCCATATTAGACTACAGATATGAAATTAATGATTTGAGAGGAAATTAATTGTCTGATACAAGCAGGAAAGGTGACAGAAAAGTTACAGGAGATGACATTTTCATACCTTAGCACCGTACCTTGCTTTTAACTCTACATTCCCACCAGTGTGATCATGATGGTGGTGGGTATTCAATATATAAGTTAAATTCCGGTTTTTCCGACTCAAAGCATCAATAACTGGCACAGCCTCTGAAGGATCAACAACCCCAACTGTGCCTGTGTCCTCATCATGTAAAAGATATGCATAATTGTCTCTAAGACACGGTACCTGAAAAAAAAAGTTAGCGAAAGGTTCATATCTAATATATGGAAATCTACATGAAATTTAGTTATTATAACCTTCAACAATGGCAAATCAAAGAACTCCACATTCAAGTTATAAGCTTTAACAAAGTTATTCCAACAGTAGAATCTAGGAAAGTGACCATGTGATCCAATATCATTCTTTCAGCTCAAAACTAAGAGTAATGCATTTTAGGTTCTTAGTTCCCCAAAGAAGGTAACTATAATTCCTTGCAGCTCTGTTAAGAAATTATATCTCTCAGTTGTTAAAGGTATCAGGTTAGTTTAGGAAGGACCCAATGACACCAATTAGGGGAGAAGATAAAAGCATGATGCTTCCACATTTGCCACACTGACTTGTAACTGCACTGTGCAACTTCAATGTTCTGTTTGATGGTTCCACTACATACAAGTAGATTGGAAAGCTTCCTTCTATCCTTCCAATATCAAACAAAAGAGAAGAAATTTGCATTCATACACAATTAATCCTTATAACATTATCAAATGTACTTTAAACCCCTAAACTTTTAACTTGAGCAAACATCCTTGACCAATTTTTAAGTTTAAATTTCATAGTTTTCAACAGACTTGCTTGATTAAACAAAAATCAGTCATTGAATGAAATTCTTGACAAAATAAGTCAATAAGAGATTAAACGCCTTGAATTTCATTTTTGCAAATTGTCTTTTCACTATTCCAACTAAAATTGTCTTAACAATTTGAAAACAATTAATAAGAGAATATATACATTGAATTTGATTTTTTCCACATTGTCTTTTCACCATTTGAACTCTGATATCATTTTAATCATTTGAAAGCTGATGTGAGATTAAATATCTTAGCATCTCTATTCAAACAAATATCTACTTATTATTTGAAACAATCAGGGAGGATAAAGCCACTGAACCTAATAGTTCAAGGAGCTCTAGTTTGTTATCCTCAACAACCCCCCTTTCCCAAAAAAAAAAAGTGAAGCAGCACCTTCACTCATAAAAGCCAAGTTTGAAGTTATTCTTATTAACAATGGCAGAACATCCAACATAAGAACAAAATTCATGATGGCACCAACAAGGTTAAAATGATAACAAACAAAAACTATGAATTGAAAAAAAGAAGGCCAATAAACAGTGAAGCAAATTAAAAAAAGTGGAAGTGATGAAAACCACATATTCAAAATAAAGAAAGATAGAAAGAGGTGTGCTCACCAATTCAATTTGTAAAGAGGAAGACATATTGGAAACACTGCAAAACTCTGTAACCCTAAGAGACCGACTTGCTCCACGCAAGGTTTTTAAGGGTGTTGACAATAAGCGCATAAAACCATACACAAGACCCTTTCTTATGCAAAGTTGCCTCATGTCTGGCCACACACAGAGCCCACTCCTCACCTAAAACATTGTAAAGCAGGCTTTCAAACTTAAATACCATAAACCAACATAGATTCAAGAAAAAAATTCCTGCAATAAGAATCAACAGATTTTAGAGAAACTCTAAGGAAAATAATAATACAAAATCACGTTAAAAGGTTTTGACTCATAATCGAGATTGTAAACCACCAATCGTTTTTTCATGAATACATTCTGCATGAAACAACTCACATCGTAGATATCCACATATACAAAGAAATGCATAGAGAGAAAGCCACAAGTTCATATCAAAGCCAAAGCTTTATTTTTATGACTTGTAGGAAATGATTCATATCATGCAATTTAGAAGATGAAAATTCTTTAAACCAACCACAAATCCTATATGAGAAATCATCTCATTTGCATAGACCATGGCAATTGACAAGACAAGATTCATATCAACATGTGATGACAAAAAAATTGCTATCTTTCTCAGTTCCAATTGTTCTTACTAAGGCAAAACTATAGAAAAGCATACGACTCAATTTTGGAAAATCAAAGCAAAAGTAACAAAAGATAGTTAAGAATGGAATATAAAGCAAATTATATATCACAAAAGCCAAAACTCAGACTTCCCATTAAGCAAAAACTAGACTAACTCTAGGCCAGAGGTAAAGGTTATATAAAGAAAACAGTACAAAACAAAAACATCCATTTCCTCAATTAGCCACAACAAGAATTGTTATTTTCCTCAAACGGGTAAAAGAAAAAATCAGATCTTTACCATTCTATTTCCATTTTCTTCCAAAAAGAAAAGAAAATACAAATTTAACAAAAGAAAGAACAAACTTGAAAAGAAAAACACAGTGAAAAATACAAGAAAGAAATGAAAAAGAAGAAAGAACCAAACCCTTGAAGAAGGAAAGGAGGCCATAGCAGATGAAGCCTTAGGCAGCATTTGCATATCTTTCTCCTTTAAGAGAAAGTTTCACTTTTTAGAGAGAGAAACTGTGTATGGGCTGTCACTCAATAATGGGTGTTTTTCTTTTTGTGTTGGTGTGGGGAAAAAAATGATAAATTTATTAATTGTATTTTAAATGAAAAGAAACTTTCTCTTTTGAGGTAAAAAAAAAAAAAGGAAATTGAATTAAAATATTTTTGTACATGTGGGGGAGAAAAAAATAATGGCAAATTAATTGTCAGAGAAAGATTTTTTTAGTGAAAAAGAAAATCAAAATAAATTTTTTTTTGTTTTTTAGAGCAGAGAAAAAAATGAAAAATTAATTTTGAAATAAAGAAAATTTTTTGGCCAAAGGAAAATTTAATAATTTTTTTTATGGAGAGAAAAAAAAAAATTTTTGTGACGAAAAATTTTTCTGTTGAATAAAAAAATTAAATAAATATTTCTGACCCCTTTGTCACTTTTGATGGAATACAGAATACTGCGAAACGCGTTTATAATTCAATTTAATTTTGACCATTTAGCGGTGATGATAAAGTTACCGATCGTGAGGGTTTAAAGGGGCTAAAGGCATTGTGGAATCACACGTGGAAGTGAGGTTGGGCCATGTTGGTGTCATGATCGTTGTCACCTTTGGGGACATTGTAAGCTTCACCCACCGGCCACCACTCTTTGAACTGGTCTCCCCATCTTTCTTTTTTTTTTCTCCCAATAATATTATTCATTTATTAAAATATTTTTTAGTAGTAAAAATTTAAAATGCAAATTTAGTGCCTAGCATTTTCTTAAATTTTTAGATTCACCCTTGAAAATTTCGATTGTTTCATTTAAGCTCTTCTTTTTAAATGATAAAAGCTATGATCTGTCATTCTTTGTTAAGGAAATTTATTAAAATAAATGAAACTTTTTTATATGCCAGTAAAGTACGACTAAAATGTACAATTTAATGAAACTTGAGGGACTTAAAGGTTACACATTTAAAGATTTCGATCAAAATAAAACCGTTCATTAATCACGAATTTTGTTGAAAATTTAATAGTACATATTTTTATTATCATTTACATATTTAAAATTCACAAATTATGTTAGATTTTACAAATATAAGCAACGATAATAAATATATGAATTATTAATTGAAGGAAGAAGACCCAAATTCATTACCTAAATAAAAATCAAATCTCACATGTATAATCTCCTTTTCTTATTATTTTTAGATTGCGATCTCTTTTATACTATATATATATATATATTTAATTCAAGTTTCTAAAGAAATTTTATTTTCAATGCAAAGGAATTAGTAAATAAACACATAATATTAAAATTTAAAATTTTCAACAATGAAACTAAATAGTGAACTTAAATTTGGATGAAATTTATGAAAGTACTAATTAGGGTCAGTTTATTAATGCAAATGCAGAAGACAGATTTGCTTACAGTGGAAGTAACATCCATACTTGTGGATCACAGAATTAGGGATTCATATTAGTGCAATAATAATGTTACAACAACAACAACAATAGGAAACAGACATGCTTCAGACAAAGATACCAATGCTACCTCTCTCATGGCAGCTTGCTTTTTTTCTTTCTTTTTCGACGATGAAATGAATCAGAAGATCCGTGACATAGCAGTCGACACCTCATAGCTCATCCTGCAGGATAACAGAGAAGAATTGGGTTAGGAGTTTGGTTAGAATGCTTTAGAGTTAGGGTCAAAATTATTCTTGTTGGTGCTAACTCATGCACAAGAAAAAACATTGAACAACAGAAAATATTAAGAAACTGCTCAAAGAAAAAGGAAAAATCTATTGACTTAAATGCAACTTTCACCATAACTTTATTTGTTGATTGTCTCTTAATATTTCTTATAATCTAAACTAGGGGAAGGGAAGCCCCAAGAGCTTCACCATAATGGTGGTTTGCTCCTGGCATTGAATGAATTAGATAGCAACTTTTACCACAGAGTTCAACCAAAAGGAAATGATTTCATAAAAGGAAATTATTGAAAGGGAACAAAAAGATAAATGCACTTACATGGTAATCATCCAAGTAATCGCGGGGATCATGCTGCCAAAGAAAAAAAAAATCATTAAACTTCAACTCATACTTTAATGCAGCCGGGAAAAGAGGGGAAAATTGAAAACACTAAATTATAATGATCTAAATCACATTCCAACAGTTTTGTACTTGACTCACTTTCTAACGTGGTGCAACAATGACAATCTCAATCTTCAAACTAACCCATGATTACATCTGTCACCATTATCTTTCTAAGTAGCCTAGAAATGTTTTCTTCCAATTTATTGGGATATATACATTCAATCAGAACCCATTAAATATCATCAACAGTTACAAGCTGTCAAGAAATTTTTTGCTACTTAAGATATGCACCACACGCCACAGCTACAGGTAAGAAGCAACTAAAATTACCATAGACTTGGTTTATGTTATGATTAAAACTCTCTCTCACTTCCCAAAAACATCTTGAACAATGAACATGCATGGGGTCATTGGCTTTATGTTGATTAAATAAATTCCCAAAGAAAAAAAAAACAAAAAAGACAAATAAAATACCCTTCTTTGGTGCCTCCTGTCTCCATATCGATGGTTCCTCTCTCTTTTCCTCTTTTCACCCTCCTCTCTTGCTCTCTTAGCTTCCTGCAAAAAGAGCCATTCAAAGGCTTCAACAAATATTCAGAAAGAATACAGCTAATTCCAGACTCAAGTCCCAAGAGAAATCAAATTCACAGGCTAACAACCTCCTCTTCCCGAGCTCTTCTTTCTTTCTCTGCTTCTTCAAAGGCCTCCTTTTCAGCCTGAAAATTTTCATGCAACTTAATTAGCTACATAGACACTTCAATTGACAATAAGCATAAAGCCTGAAAGGTAAGAGCTCACCTCCCTATTCTTTGCCCAAATATCTTCTACAACTTGTCTTGCATACTGCGGGTCATCACAAATCAATATGTTGTCAAAAACTGAACCAGCCTTTACCTGCAATATGAAATCCAATAAATGTAATCAGCTATTAGTTCATCTGTTTTTCCCTCCAACAGATATGTTTACTAGGTTTCAAAGTCAAGCTAACTTCAAATTCACTGTCAGAGAATTAGGTCTTCTTCGTGGGTTTCCAACAAACAAGCAAATATATTATTTCTCATTTATGCTAAATTCTTTAATTACATTCCCTGAAAAGAACTATTTATGTTTTATCTAGCATAATGCATTAAATACTAAATAATTCATAACATGACATCCTCAATTAGTTAAGCATTATGGTACCAAGTTTCAAACATGTAAAAAATTAAAATGAATGTTGACTAAAAGTGAGAATGATGCTGCACAGCATAAATTTAACTAAGAAACATTAATCTGTAGAAATGTATGAGTGACACTGATCAAGAAGAAATAGAGACAATATTGCCTAAAATGGTATGCTTGTGCACAGCATAGCTTAGGGATGTGGCATTGTCAATATTGATTAAGTAAAACTACCCAAGAAGCATGGTGGAAGTTGATGTCAAACTTAGATTAAAGACACGAGCCAAAGTAGTAGAAACGGTTCACTGTCTTTTTAGGTACATTCGGATACCAGGACAACACTAGCTAAAACAAACTCCTAGAAAAGCGATGCCCTAAACATCTGCCAGTAAAACTGATTAAAGCCAGGACAAAGTTGCTGTCTGATAATCTTACAAAGAGAATGAGCATCCATGGGGTGGAATCAAGGGAAACAATCCACACATCAATCCTATTTAGTTCAAAACTAGAAGTTAATGTGTTGAGTCTAAGTGTAACCATGGATATATTATTGACCTTGTTAATATGTCACATAATAAACTCTTTTGACAAAAGAAATAATATTGCTAGTAGTCAGTTTTGGAACAGTAGGATTATTTCTTTTGTTCCTGAAAAGAGAAGTTCAATCTTCAACCAGTACAAGAACATGAAGAAAAGTTTGATGCTTACCTGCCAGATTTCAATACCCACATATTTTATTGGTTTCAACACATAAAGGTCAGGATCATCTTCAAACTCTAGAGGACAGAAAAAGGAAGCAAAAATGAATACAGAAATTAGACAGTATACATTCACATTGGATTGAAGACAGGCATAGATAAGAAATGATTGAATACATCAAAACTCAAATGAAAAGCATATCAGAAATGTCTGCACTGAAACTTGGAGGTATTTTTTACCTCCCTCCCTCTCTCTCTTTGGAAAAGAATTCAAAGTAAAAAATTTTATTTTCCAATCTTTGACAGGTCAATGTTTAGATATGCAAAGAGTGGTTTAGACTGCGGCTCAGCAACAACTTATAGACCATATTCAAGCATTTCTGACAAGTTAAAGTCCCCTGCTCATGCTCTAGTTTCAAATGTGTAATTTTACCATCAAGCTACTGAGTACCGACATCTAGCAGAAAAGACATACCTGGGTTATCAATCCATGGAGTCTTCCACTTTCCCTTATAGTTGGGGTTCTTGATTTTCTGTAGAAGGGATGCAAAAGTTAGAACAGCAGCAGAGATTTTGCTTTTTATGTAATATTAGTAGCTTGAAAGCACCTTACGCTTCCACGGTCCTTTGTATGCAGGATTTGGGATCTTTGGTGGCTTCCAAATACCATCCTCTTCGTCGTCCCAGTCATCAGGCTATAAGAACAAAGTCAAAGCATGTAAAGAATGGGCCTTCTTATCATTGAAAGCACATCAATTACCATAATTAGAGCTTAATTATCATCCTTCAAGGGGAAAAAGAAAGGCTAAACACATGATGAATACAGAGGCATCATGATTAGACAAAAGAAAGGAATATGTATTGAGTCCAAATTACACCTGTCTTGAAACTGTTTTGGGCATCTGACAATAAGACCTTGGACATTAAATAATGAGTACAAACCTCTTTTGCCTTTGGATCTGGAATCTCAGCAGGAATAGAATCATATCCCTGCATATAACCAGATAATAGAAGTGTTTAGTTCATAGTAAATCACATGATCATTTCAGACATCATATTCTAAAAAGATGAGCAGCATGTGCTACCTCTGGTTTGACATTTTTAGGATCTTCAATGTATTCTCTATCATCCCAGTCTGCAGGCTGTAAAGAGAATGAAAGTGAGGGCGGAGGGTAGTTAAACTAAAGCCAGCAAATTCAAAAAACAATAACAGAAACTCTGATTCTTTCCAGATGGTAAACTGTACAAAATCAATGCTTCTTCAAGTTCTTTGTAGTGTATTAATACATCATATCTGATATCATATTTCCTGTCTGTCCAAGAATACCCTATGTTGACACTTGGGTTCCTACCTTTTTGGCTTTAAGATCCTTGATTTTTGGTGGAGGAAGGATATCCCAATCAGTATACATGCTACCAGATTCTCTCTCTCTATTATCAACTAGCACGCTATAAGAGGCATCAGGCCTTAGAATAAACGTGTAAAAGTGAGTTAGCTTGTCCGTTTCACATTGTAAATCCTTTTTAATAGGATAATTCTGTCCCTGATAGGATAGTATAAGATGGAGCTTTTTGGTCTGTGAGCCACAAATATCTGGTCCAAACATCAAACTGCACCATGGCAAAAGGCCAATCAGCTAGTGTTTAAAGTAATATGAAACAAGTCTTTAACAGTATTATCTATCTATAACAACATCTCAAAAACAAAGGCAAATGTCTCCAACAGGACAGGTAAAGGATGCAATCTAAAACCACACAATGATATGGATACCAAAATATATAGACAAAGGCAATACACATGACTTTGATATAAAAAATAAGGTATGTTTATATCATTACTCCTCACTAAGTGAACTTCTATGTTGCTTTATATCCTCCACCTATCTTTGAAATACTTTGTAGAACCAAATTGCAGGTGAGCAGTCAGTCATCTCAGTCTGGATTTGCATGTTCATTATCTAAGATCTGGAAACATGAAAACTTTATATGATTAAACAAATTGCCAGACCTGTAAGGAGTGTCGCCACCAAATTTCTTCTGGTTTACATAACCAGAGAGAAGCTTAATGTAACCACCGCCACATTCAATGTCTTGCTCAAACTTAATAGAATACTGAACCACTAGAGTTCTGTTCTGGTTGCTAAACTCTGGTATCTTAGCAGAGATAGCATAATGTTTGGCATCATTATATGTCTGAATACCTGCAAGACATCCAAGCATAATAAAAATAGCTAAGTCAGCAGTGCTTCTCTGCATATACACAGACTTTAATTGGTTTAGCCTTCCATATTAGCTGGACAAATTACTTCAAAAGTTCAAGCCAATATAGTGATGGATATCTGCAGCCAATTTTCATATAGGCCCAGTAGCTCCTCTAGATTAACTGTGTTCCATTTAGCAATCTATTTTTAGACATCTTATTCTACGTCCTATTAGTCAAACGCAAATCTGTCTGAACAAGTGACAATTGCTTGTCTAATGAAAACCCATACAATTAAAAAAAGTCTGATAGAACACAGTCAATTCAGACCCATTCCACTTTGAGTGTTAAAATTTGGGAAGCATAGCAGCTGCAAATTCACACATCGTAAAAATAGACTTATATAACCGGATGTAACCATCATGAAAGTTCATCCAAGTTGACAAATGTCACAACTTCTATTATTCATGATTTCTGCTCACCTAGTGATCAAGATCTTTTATTACAGCCAACAGTTTAGAAGTAAAATTAGAGACAACAAATAGGTCACTGGGAACAAAAAAAAAAGTAACTAATAACTGTTCTATCACTAATGCTACAAACCGCTTTCATAAAAAAGGTGCAGTATAGATCCTATTTCATTGAAGTTAAAGACTTTCCATGAGAATTTGCAGAAATAAGAGATTCAAGACATAATTAACATCAAGCTATAAAATTTTTTCAGCACAATCAGACTCTGGGATTCACTCCAACTTAAAATCCTTTTAGTTTTACAACTCAAAAGTTCACTTTTAAGTGTAGAACACCCCATAAACTCTACTTAAACATCCTGTAATAGCGAAAAGAAACATATACACTAAAAACACACTAGAAAGAAGCAATTGCAAGCTTCAAAAAAGGCATATTTCATCTTAAATTACTAGGCTTCATGATTAATCCATCATTTTGTTTTATTTTCCAGCATTAAAATCTACTAAAATCTCAAATGCAAGCTTCGAAAAAAGGCATATTTCATCTTAAATTATTAGACTTCATGATTAATCCATCATTTTTTTTTTAATTTTCCAGCATTTAAATCTCTAAAATCTTAGTAAATATGCATGCAATAAATGCTTGATAAGAAAAGAATACCTTTATCATCAGGGTCACCGGACCACTTGCCGGCAGTGTGCTTAAAGGTGCCGGCTTTTCCCTCACTCCTTTTCCAATCTGATAACACCCACCGGCCCTTCCACCCATCTGTTTCCAAATCTCAAAAAAATCAAAAACATTAACACCCATAAGCAATCACATTCACTCCAAATAAATTAATTCAAATAATTAAAAACACAGCATTTATTCATTGATAATCCAGAAAAAAATTAGAGTCAACGTGTTTGACCAAAACTTCCAGAACCTTCTTTTTTTATCACTACCATCCACCTGTTTAACTTAGTTACAATCAATCTTTTTTGTTATTTAAAAAAAAATGAAGGATTAAAAGTTATTATAACTTTTTTTTTTTTTGCTTACCTTCGAAACGTTCCTCGAAGAAAATTTCAGAGAAAGCGAAATCGAAGACGAGAAAGTGAAGAAGAAGGAAAAATAAACGGAGAAGCGACTGTTTGGCAGCGAGCCTTCCCATTTCCGGTAAAGATTTTAACTCATTAAAATGGGTTTCTTTTTTTCTTTTCTTTTTTTTTTTCCAGAGTTTTGATCTCAAAGAAAGAAGCTGATTGTAGAAATTAGGCAGTGAGTCCGAGTCAAGCTCACTTCAAACGTCTCCCTCCCGTCGGTACCAACTCTTTTTTCTTTTTTATTTTTTAAATAGAAACAATGCGTAATGTCAATTAAGCCCTTCTATTACCTTAGTGAACCGCAAATATTAAGGATACCAATCTTATCAAAATTAGACTGAGTTCAATTTTTTTCCGTAATAGAGACGAGAATGATTATTAAATTTTAAAGATAAAATTGAGTATGATTTTAAATTATTTATCGGATATAAATATGGGGATAAATAATAAGGAAATATATTTTTATATATTTAAGAAATTATATTTTATTTAATAATATAGATTTTATTTTAAATTTAATATAATTAATATATTTGTATTTCAAAATATATATTTATAAAAAAATTATTTAAATGTGTAAAATAAATATAAAAATTAAAAAAATATTTTTTATTTTTAAAAATCACGGATACAAAAATTATCAATATTATTAAATATTTATAAAAATAAAAATAAAGATAAATTTAAAATATTTATTTAATATAAATACAAAAATAAAGATAATATGTTTTTTTTTTCTCGATACCCTATCCATGGACCTCCTTATATTTACTCATACGACTTATTCATAAACAATTTGACTTAGTTGCATATATTTTTTATACGGGTTAATGGATTGGAATCATTTGTAAATCATGAATTCATGTTAACACATTACACACAAAAATATTTTTTTGTTTTCATTAAACTTATATATAATTTTTATTAAAATTTTAAATTATATTACTTTATTATTATTCTTTATCATATTATAGTACGTATGCTATTTAAAGTTATGAATGTTCTAACTTTTAACTTGAAATAATAAAAAATAAAAAAAATCAAAGTTGGAGCTTGGAAGTGCTTGCAAGAATGTACTTGTGCATGGTATCTAATTATACCATCTACAATGCAATGCCCATCAACTGAAAATGAAAAACCAGTATTTCACTGCCATGGGAACTGAGTTTTATGGAATACTTTCCCGATTCTCAAATGAATTTTCAAAGATACATATTCAGGTTCCCAACTCTTTCACACTGTTATCATTTGTATAGTAATTTCAGACAACAAATACCAAAGTCATCTCTTTTTTTTCTTTTTTTCTGTTTATTCCAAGGAGAAAAAAAAAGAAAAACACCTGCACTTTGCATCAAACGCATTTCTTTGATATGATTTACTGCATCTATACCTCAAAACCCATGTAGGATTTATATACATGATAATGATAAATGAGGGGCCTAACTGCTGTGAATCAACACTGCAGTCATGTGGACTTGCCTGAGTCACTTTTTGGCTTTTGATTCAACTGCTCGGATGGGTGGTGATGGCTGTGATCCACCACCTAGAGCAGCTGCAGCAGATTCAACATGTGTAAGAAGATACTCGTATATTTTCTTCCTTAGCCGATCGATTGTCTCTGATGAAACGTGTGGCATCTCTTCTTCATCTTTGTTTGAACTAATTTCATCTAACCAGTCATTGACACTCTTGAGCTGTGTCAGCATCCCAGCTATTTGACCATTGTCTGATAAAGCAGATGTGTCCACATCGGCATCTAAGAATCTCTCCACAAATCCTAAGAACCAATCCTGGGATTCCATTCGCAGCATTTCAGCCAAGTCAACAGCCTCATCAAGGCCATTTCCCCTTGTCCATATTTCAGGTGGTGGTTGGACCTGTGCTTTTGGACCAGGGCCTGAACCATCCCCTGGTTTGCGAAGAATACCCTGTGCTACAAGCTTGGAGCCGACTACCGGACGGGTTTTCCCTTGGGCTTTTGCAGAAGCATTCTTAGCAGAATTTTCTAGAATTAATATGTTTTGATTGGCAGGGGTAGTCTTCAGGCTTTGTGCAGAAGCTGAAGCATGACTCAGCATCGAATTATGTTCTTTGGTAAATACAGAGAAGGATGATAGATTGGTAGCCAATGCAGCTTGCACCCATGAAACCGCATATTTCCGTCTATCCGATGTGACCTTTACTGCCTCTTCTGATGGGTTCCCTTCAGATTCTGGAGATGAACCAATTTGAACAGTTTTTGATAAAGAATCTGCAATCATGCGAGTATTATTCAAGCTTGCATGGAGGGTCAAGAACCGATCCACTGCAGGTTGAGGGTTGTCTTCCTTGGCAGAGGTAGTAAGATCAGAATATAAGCTGCAAGACAAAATAGTAAACCAAACATGTCATACAAGAAAGCAAAGAGCAATCAGTTATAGCTTTTACTGGCAATTTATATCATTTTCTTTTCTAACATTTTTTTTTATCGTTAAATAGCCATACCTTAAACATCGAAGTAAGCTCTCTGAAGCAGCAGCCTCTTGTAAAGCTTCTATTGCTGCTGTTTGTGCTGCATCCCTGTGTTTCATGACCTCCTGTAACAACAAACATAAATTCGACATATATTTCATAATGCCAGAATGCGAATTAAACTGTCAATTCAAGCACAATAAACTATTAATGACAAACTGTGAGCCTTAAGCATCACTTAATGGATGTTGTAGCCATTCAAAGAGTTGATTGTCAACCACATAGCCTAGAGACTACTAAGAAATAAAATTATCATGTAAAGATCATTTTAAAACATCAGTTCAAGATAACCGCCTGAATGATGATGCCAAAGGGGAAAGGAAACTAACTACCTTAAAGCACATAACAAAGGCCATCCATTTGCTTGTTCACCGAAAGAAAAACAAAAAGGAAGTAAGGATTAAATAACGAAATTTTTTATGGCCCTGATGCTCAAGCCAATTATGCAATGTATCAGACTCAGTTTTCTTGGATTTACTATATTTTTGCATACTACAATCGAAAACTGAGATTTCAAACACTTTTCTGCACCATAAGTTAGCTTTAATTAAATCTATACTAGGTAATTTTCTTCAAAAGGAATTTGCTAATAGCAAATACAACCTTCTTACAACAGCAGGCTAACCCTTAAAAGAGACTTTCATATAAAAGCTAAGAATGTTGTCAACATCCCAAGAGTCATATGTTCATACCTTTCCAAGCCTTGTAAGAGAAGAGGGGAGTGAACCCCATGAAACACTTCCATCTGTCAATCTTTTACTATTTATCGGAACCTTAACCAAGTTCCCAAGGCCACCATTAGTAGTTACTTCTCCAGATTTCTTCCCAACATAAGTTCTTGGCTTATTCAGTTTCTCTTGGTCATCCAACATTCCGTTTGCTGTGACTTTCTTAGTTGACACCTGAGATTTACTCTCTTCTTTTAATGACCTGGTAGATGTCTGGAGCTTGGTCTCCTCCTTGGATGGCAACTTTTCACTTGATGTGCTCTTTCTAGGAGCCTGGCATGATGGCATCCAGATTTCAATTATAAAGAAGAAGAGAAAAAAGTAGCTTGACAAAACAAGACTTTGAGACAATGCAGAAATAATACACATGTATTTTCAAGATTCTAAAACATTTTGACATTAAAGATAATATAGAAGGGGAAGTCATATTCAGTGCTTGAACTCTTTCAATCAAATTCCAAAAAACAGCTTGAATTATTCTTAGATGCATAAACTTTTCAAATTTCCAAATATACCCATGTCTAACACATATCAAGAACTTCAAAAATCTACTCCAATTAAAAGGAAAAACTAACAAGAGAACAAACAGACCCATGTCACACATGTTATCCTAAACTTAAACTAGAGTCCAAGCATCATCTTAAGTTATTTTCTTCAAGAAATATCAGTCCACGAATTGAACAACAAATATAAACAGTAAAAATCAATGTATGAGAAAGGAACCAAATAGATTCTATTATCTCATATTTTGAACTTCCTTATGTTTTACTCAGTTAGAAGTAACAGATCAAGAACAAGAAAACTTACAGAAGTGCTCCGAGATTCTCGCTTGGCATCATGCTTGGTAGCCCTAAGTTTAGAATGGTCCCTACCCTTCACTTCCATATTCCCTTCCCAGCTCTTTCTCAAAGCCTTGGCCCCTAGCTCAATCCCTTGAACCAAAGTTTTAATTACAGGTACTTTTTTCCCAGTTGGACTCACCCCATGAAAAGAACTTGCCTTCTCCACCGATCCCACCTTGGGACTTCCCTTCCTCAGCCCTTTTATTTCTGCCTGTTGCTTAATCCCAGTGGCAAACTTCTCGAAAGAAGTTGGCAATGAGTAACAACTTGTGGGGGAAGAAGGAATTGACCGCGAATTCAGTGCCTTCAATTTCCCCAGAGATTCCTTCTTCATATCCAAACTCAATGCTGGTTTAGTCGACTGAGACTTTGATCTAGTCAAAGAAGCAATTTTCTTATCCAATTGATCCTCCTTTGCACCACCATTTGATCTACTCCCAACAGATTTGTCTTTCTCCCCATTATGACCACTACCTAACACTGCTTTTGATGGTGACTTCACTTTCTCTCCAGGTTTTGAACCCAAGGCACTTTTACTACCATTATTAAGGAATCCAAGAGAATGAGTTGCAACAATGTCCTCAGGGCTCCCTACACAAGGGTGTCGCCCAGGGACCGGCCTAACCCCATGAAGAATGGGAACCGGTGAAGCAGATTCTAACCGGTCAACATGAATAAACTGACCTAATTGGATCTTATCACTAAGAATTAAATCATCATGTTCATCAGGGAGTGATACATATGTAGCATGAGATGAATCTGAAACCTTAAGGTAAAAGCCTTGGTTAGGGAATAGCTCACCTCCTGCTAGTGCAGGAACTATACTCACTACTTGCAATAGAGATGACCTGTGCTCACCAGCAACCTTCACATCTGTGTTCATATGCTGTAAAAGCTTCAAAAGAACCCCGGGAACAAGATTTGCCATTTTGGGTTCCTCCAATTTGCATTACTCTTACAACAAAAACCCCAGACAAAGAAACTCAAAGATTCTATATGAGAGAATAACAGAGACCTTGAATGAAAGAAACTGAAAAATAAAGAATTTTGGTCAATACCCAGATTGAGAAAAACCCAACGTGAAACAAGGAATCAAGAATCAAGGACAAGACATTTGTCAACACATATAGATTGAAGAATGGGGATTATGCTTTGCTACCATAAAACGGCTTAAGATTCAAAGAGAGAAATAAATTGTATAAGATTCAGATGAGTGTGGTTGCTTTGCTGCAGCTTTTTGGGATCTTTAATATTAGTTTAACAAATAAAGAGAAGGAAAACATCAGGTTAGACAACAACCCAGAAGAGATTTATTAACAAAAAAACACATTAATAATAGACCAATTTTAAGCAAATGAGATGTATTCAATAATTAGTAGTAACTAGTAACGACAATAATGGAGCAAAAATGTGCTAAAAATTCCACCAAACCCAGATAAGAAAAGGACCAAACTAATAAATGATGGAAGGGCCTTTGGCAGTTTATAGAGAATCCCCCCCCCCCTCTCCAATATCAACTAACAAACTATTTTACTTTACAAAAACCCAAAATGGGAATGGAAAAGAAGTGAAAATCTGAAAAACTTTGGATTGGTTTTGAAGTCACATAATACAACTCAACCCACCACCAGCAATACTTTAAAAAAGGTGACCTTTTAAGGAAGTAGATAGAGAAAAAACAAAGCTTGAGAAGGGGTTGCTGAAATTTTGCAGGAAACAGGAAAAAGGGTAAAAAAATGAGAATAAAAGATTGCCTGGTTTAATCCATGAATGACATAACACAGAAGAGAGAGAAAAGACGAGGAAATAAGGAGAGAGAGAGATGTGTGTCAGAAGCTGACACACCTAATGTATCAAACACATGCACAAACATACAATGAATTAAAAAATACTTGGAAACTGACCCATACTTTGGCTTCTAGCTTCGATCGAGTTGCAGTACTTTGGTAAACAAAGGAACAGATGGGATAAAGAAATGGGTTTTTTTTTTTTTTTCTTTTTTCTTTTTTGAGGCAGAGATGAAGCAAATTTGGTTTCAAGAATTCTTACCAGAACTGAATAGGAATTATGGCAGAGAGAATAAGTTATTCATTACAAGTTTTTCAATTTTCAATTTCTAAACAAAAACCATAATGACCAACTTGGAATTAGATTCTACATTTTTTTTATGAGTGGAATGAGTTCAATATGTACTAAGTTGTGATGTCAAATGTCAATAGCAAAAAAATGTATTGGAATTTATATCTATAAAATAATATTAACTCATATATGTTGGAAGATATAAATAGATAAGATATGGAACAGCATATATATTTTCATATTTATGTCAAATAAGTATTTCAAATATATTTTTATTTTTTAGATATTTAATGGATATATATAATTTTTGTAATTTTTAATTTAAAAGAAATAAAAATTGAAATATATATTTCTTTAATTTTAATCTTACATATTTATATAATTTTTTATAAATATTATTAATATATATTTTAAATAGAAACATATTAATTTTAATTTATTTAAAATAATAATTTATATTATTTAATAATATTTATTCACTAAAAATATATATGTAAAATATGGATATAAGTACCAAACTATGATATATCATCCGTCCTCATCTCTTACTTGATAAAAATTTTAAAATTATACACATTTCCATCTCTATTATTTTTTGAGAAAATTTTTCATTTGATATAGATAAAATTGACATTCTAATAAATAATTGATAATTTTTTTAATTTATTAATAAATTAAATTTTGAAATATGCATTTAAAATATAGTTAAAATTTTCGTTTATAAATTTTAAAATTTTCATCAAAATATATTGTATTGACTTAAAATAAACCACTTTTTTTTTTTTTTACAAAACAAAAAGAAAATAATATAAAAAATTTTTATTTTGAGAAGGAAATAATGTTGAAAGAATTCTTATGTGTAAGAACTAATTAGCAACCTAGGCAGAGAGGATAAGTTATCTATAAATATTCATATATAAGCTTTTTTTTATTAATATTTCAAATTTTGAATAAGGTGAAGGTTTTTTAGTATTTTAATTGGATTAATAATGGAAATAATATTATTTTATTTAAGTATGTAAATGGTTGCATGTGCAAGAGTAATTGAGGTGTTAGAAACAAGGTAATGGCTTGTCGTCTACATGGAAAAAAAAAAAAAAAGTTTGTCACACCCCGAGATAATTGCTTCTTTTTATTTTGTTTTTTAAGTTATTTCATATAATTAATTAATTATTATATCATAATTAAATTATAATTATTAAATAATCAATTAACAAATTGTAATATAATTAAATAATAATAATAATAAATTGTATATTTAAACTATTTATTTATGAGTTTATTTTTATATAGTAATAGTAAATTCTTTTAATTATTTTTTATTTTTATTGTATCTTAAAAATATTTTTTATTAATTGACTTGTAATATTTAAAAATTTTACTTTCAATAAATATGATAATTTTTATATTTATTTTTATTTTTTTTGTCTTTTAATGTTAACCACATTGTTTTAATGGGAAAGGCCCTATCAAATATCATGAATCAAAGCATGTGATCAAGTATGTGGCAAGAGGTGCAAAAATGGACCCAATGAAAAACAACTTAAGCATAGAAAAAAAATTAATAAAAGGTAGTCCAAATGAAATTAAAATTTACTATGATTAAATTGTTTGGTATAATTGTACAAAATTGATATGAAAATTTTATAATTTCTTGATTTAATTTTATATAAACAATTTTACTAGTTCAATTTTTTCCAAATATTAGTTAGTTATGTTATCGATGTTTAGATTATTATTTTCATGAAAAAGTGTTTGAGTTTTTAATCGCAAGGGAATAGCCAAACTCAATTGTGGTCAATTTTTTTTTTTTTAAATTATTTGTAAATAGTGGTAAAAATTTTTAAAATTTAAATTTATTTTTTTTGAATATATAAATTAAAATATAAAAAATACTTTTCAAAAACCTTTAAAAATTTGGAAACATATTATTATAAAATATTTAAAAAATCAATATTTAAAGTTCAAAACATACTCTTGAGTCTTGGCCCCTAGCATCCATACTACATTGTTCCCTTAATTTTATTTTTTATTTTTGGCTAGGTAGATTGTTCCCATCTTTATTTTATTATTTTTGTTTTGATTTTCATAAATAAATGTCCAAACAAATCTGATTTTGTAACAAAATAAATCCTAAAGAAAAGGTAATTATTTTCTCTTTTTTATATTGTTTTGGCACTTCATTTTCTTTTTCTATTTTAAATTTTTTAAGCCATGCAAAATCATAAATGAAATATGAAAAATGAAAAATGAAAAATGAAAAAAAAAAAGAGGAAACTAAAGAAACGTTAATAATTATTTGATTTATTAATAAAATATTAAAAATTTAATTTTAATGATTTAGAGTCAATATCTAATAGCTTCAAATATTAAAAAAAAATATTAAAGCAACAAGCCAAAGTGTTGATTAAATCCAAATACATTAAATTGATATAAAAAAATATGCCTTTAAAATTATTCAAATAAAATATTAAATTTAAACAAAATCTGAAATAACGTCGTTTTCAAGCATATTAAAAAAAAAGTTGTACATGACTTTAGTCTAATTTTATGTTAATTTATTTGTTTAACGTGTTTATTAGTTTATTATAGATTTAAACCTTTGTTTATTTTATTAATTTTCCGATAAGATTGTTTAGTAGTTGGTTAATTTCGACCCACAAAACTTTGGCCTACTCTCAACCAACTCATCAGAAATTAATAGTTTTTTTTTTGTTTGAGATCCAATATTTGATAATTATTTGAATTTTGATTAATATGAAATCGAAACAAAGATAAACAAAATTTTTTAATATTTATTTTTTTAATTCATAAAATTTAAAATCAAAATTTTATTTAAAAATAATCGAATTTTTTAACACTTAAACTAACGGATTTTGATAAAAATTAATGGTTTATTTCTATGATTCGGGTGGTTTTAGCTGACATAATTGTACCTGAAATTATTCCTAAAGGCATAAAATATTTGTGTTTTATCTTCAAGAATCTCGTGCTTTTGCATTGTGGTTGGAATATCTTTTCAGTTGGAATTTGGTTGAAATTGGACTATTACAAATAAATTATATAGTGGCAACCAAATCTCCCTTACAATATAATTATGTCGTTTTTAAAATTTTCTGAATTTGTTTCAGCCTGTTTAGTTTGAAAGTTTACTTTTTCATCCAAATTAAAACGTTTTTTAAGAGGTATATTTTGAAAAAAAAATTTTTTGAGGGATAAAATTATTTTATTATTTCTATGTTTTTAATATTTATTTATTACATATATTTAAATATTTTAATTACTCATAATATTTTTCCACCAAATACTTGAAAATTTTAAGCATTTTTCGCATTACACTTTTTAAATTCACTTTTTTCAATCAAATTTTTTTTAATAATATTAAATTAACCTATATCACAATAATTAGAGTTGATAATGATTCGAATTAGATTGAATTCAATCTAATTTTTTCGGATAGTATATAAAATTATAAATTTTAAAATATGATTTAAATATGATTCGAGCTTTTATATGATATGATCCAAATTGAATTTTATTGATTTAGTTCGTTTTATGAAATTTTTAAATATAAATTTTTTATTTTTATATGATAATTGAATATAAATTTTTAATATATTTAAATAAATTTATATATAAAATAATTAGTTTTATTTAATAAAAAATTTAAAAATAAAAAATTAATAAAAATATATAATTTGATTCAATTTTTTTTAATTTTTCACTTTTCAATTTAAATATATATATATATATTTAATATCCAACTTAAATCTGAATCATATAAAAAATTTTGATTTGAACTAAACCGAAAATTATAATTTTGAATCAATTTTTTTTTCTCGACTCTAGCAGTGATTGATTTACGTTTTCGAGTAAGATGTTCATAAACATTTTTAAAAATAAAAAATAAAAAATTTTTGAGTAAGATGTTCATAAACATTTTTAAAAGTTAAAAATAAAAAATTTTTGAAGTAAAATTTTTGCAAATATTTTTAAAATTTTTTCATGAACATTTCAAATATTAAAAAATAAAAAATTGAAAAAAAATCTAAATCCCCCCAAATTTTTTAAAAAAAATCCTTTTTAACAATAAAATTGATAAATTAATCTATAATTTTTTATTATATCATAAATGAACAAATTTAAATCAACCACTGATAAGAAAAGGTTTTTGAAATCTTTAAATTAATTTAATTAATCTCACCGTCCTACTAATTAGCTATTGATGCGGAGTCTAAACCGTATAGGTCAGCAGCCAATCCATGAAATTTTCCTGGAAAGCAGCCAGAAAATAATTGAACTCCTAAAGTGACGTGATAGATTTTCCCCGGCCACCTAAAAAACAACAAAGGAAAGTGAAGGAAGTTACCAGAAAAAAAGTGCTAAAGAATCATGCTACATTAGATCTATCAAATGCAATAATATAATATAAAAATAATAAAATATATATCAATTTAAATTTTAATAAAAATTATAAATAAATTTAATAAAGGTAAAAATATATTTATAATATAAATGGATTTTTTTTTTTTACATTCCCAAGTCAAAAACTAGTACTACAATGAACAATAATCTATTATCGACTGTCTTGCCTTTAAATGTTTTCATATGGTGAACAATCTATTATATGGTGAACCATCGTAATGATCAGCAATTTTTTTTTTTTTTTTTTGTAAAACATCTCTTCTTAATCCCAAAGAGAGAAATATGAGCAATTTGATTTTTTTTTTTTATGACGAAGTTAATTATTTGTTACTGCTAAATTTTTGAGACGTGAAAAATTATTTCAAGATAACACTTCAAAGAAATTGAATAATTTTTTTTTGGATATACATAAAAAAAATTTTATTTGTTTTTCAATTAAAGTTCGATCCTTATGAAAACATTAAAAAAGTACAAATTTAATCATTTTTGTTGATGCAATGGATCAACATTGATGTTATATTCACGTTGACGTTGCATCAACAATTTTAATCATTTTTTTTTTAAGATTATTTACAAAAAATGTGTTTTTAATGAAGAGTTTAATTGGCATTTTTTAAAGTTATCAATGATTGAATCAATTGAATGGAAGAGTTTTTTTTTTATATTTTTTTTCACCAATTATATATATATATTTAAAAAAATTTAAAGTAGATAAATTGTTCAATTTCTTAAATCAAAATAAAATGTGTCATATCTGACAGTTTAAAACACGTAATTATAGATTGTACATTCAATATGATCTCAATAAATAATTATTGATATAATTTAAACTTAAAATTTTTTTATTGATAAAAACAAACTTAATCGATTAAATAAATAATTTATTAATATTATATTTCGCTTATAAGAAAATGATTTTTCATTACAAAGCACTAAAAATCACTTTTTCCATTCTAATAATTGCAAACTCTTAATCCTTTGGCCGACACAAGGATTACTAACTGATTGCCTAATTATGATTTTCTTGGAAAATTTCAAATTTAAGGAGAAATTATTTCATTTGATATCAATGAAATGTTTAGACTTTGACAAGTGGAGATGATATAATTACATTTTTTTATGATATTTTAAAAATTAAAAAATAAAATAAACATGCATTAATTTTTTTAATCCTATTTATAGAATTAAAAAAATTAAACTATCATAATATATATAAAAATCGTACTCAATTATAATAAAATATAAAAAAAATATAAAATAATAAAATTTAAATATATAAAAATCTTTTAAATTATTTGTAAAATTAAAAAATTACTCTATCAATATATTAAAAACGAACTAAGCAATTTCAATTAAAAAAGCCTAGAGTTTATTGTCTTAAATTAATAAAGATAAAAGTAACACATTTTTTTTTTAGTCCTTGTCCACTATAGTCATCATCTAGCAAGCAATCTTCAAGCAAAAGATTCAATTTTTTTTTTTTAATTTACAAAAGATTCAATGTTAGTTAAGAAATTAATTAACAATAAAAAAAATTTAATAAAATTTTAATTGAATATATAAAACCACATTAAATTAGTAATTTATACTGTTACTTTTGATATATAAAATTTAATAAATTTATATTTAAATTTCAGTATCCGTAATCTATTTTTTTATTTCTAGATTATAATTTTTTGTAAAAAAATTAATATGGTCAAAAATAAAATCAAATTTAAAAAAAAAAATAGTGTTTTATACAGCTTGGATTCACATTGTAGGTAAAGAGTAAACTTTTGAGAGCCAAATCTGAGCTAAAAGATAGATGTACAGTGACATACTACCATTGACAACTGATACCTTAACGTTGAACTTTGAAATATTTTACAAGGGAGAAAAACGTTGATGCTACATTTTCACGTGGTATAATTTATTTTTAATAGAAAATACTAGCTTTTAACCTTTTTTTTAATTAAAAAGATGGGGTTTGGTAGGAAATATAAAACCACATTAAATTTTAATTGAGCTGTTTCACCTAGCTTTTTTGACTGTTTGTCACTAGTTTTAGAGTTGATAGAAGATCTTATTTTTGTTTTTATATATAGCAATTTCATTATTTAATTTGAAATTCAAATTGAATCGAAATCCAAATTGAAAGCCACTTTTAATAAAGAAATTATAAATTATATTTTTTATTTTTATAATTTTGGAAAAAAAATTATGTTTGTGCATCAGGGTAAAAAATTTTATATTATACAACTTTGGTTTTCAAAATTTGTTTTTTAATAAATGGCAAACAAATTATGTTTTTATTATTCTATGGTAAAATATTATATATTAAAAAACGAATTTCTTAAATTTTTACAATAATTAAATAAAATAATATTTATAAAAATTGTCTAACCTTAATATTTTTAAATGATTTTACCAATGTGTTTTTTATATTAACTTAATACATTTAAAATTTTATTTTCAAAATATTTCAATAAAATTAAATTCTAATTGACGAAATCCATTTAAAAATTTAAAAATTAAAATATTTTAAGAGTTCAACTGATAACATTATTATAAAATTTTTATTATATTTTAATATCTTTTTATAATTAAACAACCAAAAATACAACTATGATACGTTAAAAATCCCACCCGCACCAAATCCTAAATTTTCCATTCCTATAATGGAAACCCCACGTGGCTTGCTACTTTGATAAAGCCCCTTTCGGGCAAGAAAGTGGAGATAATAAGATGCTCTTAATTCGCTTTACATGTGAAATATCACATCAGATTAATCATTCTATAATTTTTTTCTGAAATTATGATATTCGATAGTGATTTTAAATTTTGATTAATTTAAAATTAAATTAAATCATATTTCATAAAAAGACAAACTCTTTTGCTATTAATTTTTTATATTCATTAATCATATTAAAAGGTTGATTGGCAAGTCTTATCCCTTATTTAAAAAGAAAAAAAAATCATATAATTCAAAGATGTTGACTCTGATCCAAACACTTGAGATTTGTAGGGTCTTATAATTTTAGTAGGAGGATAATGGTCTAAGGGTATAATCAATACAAATGTCGGCTGCAAGAAGGCAAATAAATTCAACAAAAATATCAGGCAAAATTTACAAAATTTTTCGTCTTTCCTACCAAGCAAAGCTTAAACCAAATCCTCGATATATTGCCTGAAAATTTTGCATCTAATTTAACAAATGTGTAACTGTGTAACAGATACCTCAAGCATCAAGATTTTCTAAGAAATTGCAATGGAACACAAAGAGTGCATGCTAAAGCTTTACTTGAATGAATTTCTACCCCTACAATAATGGAAAAGACAAACCAGTGTTGAGTTTGGACCGTCTGATCAACTATTGTATGCTTTTCGTTTGTCTTCACAACAGCCTGCTGAGAGAATTGATAAGTGATTTCAGATTCTTTCTTGTGGACTCATCTCCCGTGAATCCCAGTACATCAGAACTTATATTCTGCAATGGTGAATGAAGAGAGAGGCCGAACAGATGTGAATTTAACATTTAAGTAAAACAATTGAGTATTCTTTTTGTTAAAAGGAATGCTGGTAGCCGGTAAGTAAAATCTTACTTCGATATTCTTCAAAGTGAAAATCAAAGTATAAATTGATTTTTGAAGCAATTCGGTGTTCTCAGGGGTCATAATGGATGAATGCACCCTTCTGCACAGAAAGGAATTATAGTTGTAAGGCTATAAATTTAAGAGAGCAGCCAAGGCAAAAATCAACGGGCCACATCTTGTTTTCCACATGAAGTGTCAATAATTAGAAAATCCTCGATCAATTCGTGTACGTGGATGACACCATATCTTACAAGGAAGCATGGAGCTCGGTATAGTGTAGATACAGCATAAAATAAATTTCATGAGCATTTGGTGTTGGATCCTTTATCTTAAATGATTCTTGGTTATAAGTATGTGAGAGTAACGTTTCTTGTTGCAAGAATATCTCAATCAAATTATAACCAAAGGGAGAATAAAGAAGTCACCTTAAATCCTCAGAGGCTTGTGTTAGGCTTCTGGTCAAATTCTCAACCTCTTTAAGCAGACCAGTATCACAAACCTCAGCCAACAAAGGTTGCACATCTTCGGCCATGGCTTCAATCTGAAACATCACTACATCAAATTCAAAATTCTGAGCATAAGAATCCTTAAAAACTTCAGTTTGAAATGTTTATTCAGTCAGTCAGACATAAGGGAAACACATACAGATATAAACTATACAAGGAAACCAAAAATGATATTGAGCAATTTCCAAGATCTAATTAAAGAACGAAATTCCAACACTACATGATCATGGATTCCAGCAACGCTCTCCATGTGAAATCACTAATATGATCTCAAAACTCTTACTTTTATCTAGTTTTTTCTTTCAGGGTTGTGGCTTGCTAAAGCAAATTAAATTTTTTTTTCTTGAACTCTACCAAGAAAATTCAATAGACTTTAATGCTAACATAAAATTTTAAACTAATATTTTACCTTTTTCCTGATCCCTTCCCAACCGACATAACTTGCATAAAAAAGATTAATTTAGCAAATATGGTTCAAATCTTTTTGGGCTTAATAGAACTTTCAGCAATACGGTTAAGAAAAACAAATCTTATCAATAAGACATAAAATGTAACAAGGTATGTCACACCTTTGTGAGCAGGGGCTTTGCTTCCTGAATAACGGCAGCAACTCGTTCAGCAAGTGAATAGGTGTTGGCAATACCGATTTCCTCCATTTGATGAGCAAGACGGGTGACTATCCCTACCAACGCATCCAGACTTACCCCTTGTTCTCCCTTTATCTTTTGCCTATCACATACAATTAAGCCTTCCTTGAGACATTCTGCGTCAAGAGGTCCAACAGAAGGTGATGGAATTGGATCCCGAGGTGTGATGTCAATCAAAGTTTCCATCAGAAGACCAGATTGGTTCACCTCAACCAGTGAATTTCGAGGTATAATAATCTTATCATCTTCTACCTATGAATGATGGCAGCAGTGTTGGAGCATAAACAAACCAAAACAACATGTCACAGGAAGATCATTATACTGAAACATACCTCAACAACGGCTTCTATACTTTTCAAGGAGGGATTAATACGTACAACATTGCCTACAGTCACCCCTCTAATCCTTACAGGTGTTCCAGTGCAAATACCAGATGCCTGAGCAAATTCAAACACCACCATGTACTTCCGGAATTTAGAACGTATCTGAAATCCCCTCAACCAAGCCAGACTAAGAGCAAGAAGTACTGTACCAGACACAAGAAACAACCCAACCCCACCTTCCCAAATGCTTCTATGACCAAACCCGAAATCACTCAGTGGACGTAATGTTTGTTTCCAAATATTCCGAGGAACATCTAAAACAACTGCAAGTAGATTCTTTTGTTCTGAAGAAGCAGGCGGTGGGGTATGCTCGGTACCAGCAGACATAGCTCTAACTTTTGCCAACCTTGTTCTTGGTTTTGGTGGAAGAAATGGCAAAATTTTTGGAGAAGAATGTGGGATGGAGGTCAAAGTTGAAGATAACATAGAAGGACAACTTGAAATCTTGACTAATGTATTCCCAACCATCTTTGGAAAATTTAACGCTAAAGCATATGAATACTATTAATCCAAAATGCTATGAATACTATCCCTTTTAGCTAAATACAGAATGAAACAAAACAAATTCTCTCTAAATCTTCAGCTTCTAAGACTTCCATTTAACTGTAAAGGCAACACAAATGAAATTCTATCAGTTAAAAGAAAATTTGGTTTCTTTGATTTATACAAAATTGAAGCTCAATTAAATACCTAAAATACCATCAATTAATGTTTAAACACCACTTACGAAAAGAAATTAAGAAGGAAAAACCTAGCTTGAAGTTGAAAGAAACAACTCAAGTTTTGATTGAATTCAATTCATTATGGTTTAAAGGGAAAAAAGAAAGAAACATAAAAACGGGATAAAGAAAATTCATCAATTTACTTTCAATAGAACAATTACAAGCCACGATAACTGTAGTTCATATCAACTTTGTTCCCTAATCTAAGATTTCATAGGGAGATGCAAAAGAAAAGTTAAAATTTTGAACATTCACAGTTGAATATCTATCTGTCAACATTCTCGAAATTTTCTCGGTAACCAAACAGTTTCGTTAGTGAGGGAGTAAGTACCTTTTGGAGCTGGCTAGGGCTTTTCCCTTCACGAATTCGAGGCAGCAATTCCGACATTTTTTGGGAAATGAAAAGTTTCAACCTTTTCTAATTTATTTTTTAAATACCGCCCAAAAAAAATTAAATAATGTAAATGGTAAAATGGAAATTTCAAAATTTCTGTTATATTATTTCCCATAAAAAAAAAAAAAGAGAGTAAAACTACTTTTATTTTATTTATTTATATTTGTTGTCATTAAATTATTGATCTGATAATATATATGTAAATATAATAAAAGTGGTAATTAGTGAGATATAATATGGTACAGGTATTCATAAATTAAATTAATATATTTCATAGAAAATAAAATAAATAATTTATTTGTACATTATAAATTAGTTTGTTTCGAAAAATTTAGAATAATTTTAAATTATTTCGATAATTTTGAATTTGTTTTAATAAATATCAAATTTAGTTCAAGCAATTTGAATAAATTGTATCTAAATATTTTAGTATCCGATTAAGTGACTCATAAATAAAAATATAATTGAATTAAATCGAGTTGATATAATAAAAAATTTGAACTCAAATTCAAATCAAAATTTATTATTAAAAATTTGGTTCAAATTCAAATAATTTTTAAAATTTAAATTCGATTCAAAATAAAAATTAAATTATTTGAATTCACTTTAAGTTTTTTTATTAAATAAAAAGTGAATTCAATTTTTATATTCGATTTTACATTCAATTATTTATATTTGAATTCAAATTTAAATTTATATATAAATAAAATAATAATTTTTAATTAAAATGTTAAAAATTATATTATTTAAATCCACATTAAAAAGCTTAAAATCAACTAATTCAATAAATCAAAATGTTTAAACTCAACTTAATAGTGATTGCACCGAATTTTTAAAATTTATCTTAACCATACCTAAATAGCATATAAGTAATATATATCATTTATACTTTTACTCGCCATTATGATCAATTTTCTTAATCTAATATATTTTTAATATTTAATCAATAATTTAGCATGTAAGTAATATATATCATTTATACTTTTACTCGCCATTATGATCAATTTTTCTTAATCTAATATATTTTTAATATTTAACTTGTAATTTACAATTTTATCCTCAAGGATATAGCCAGAAGCCTAAATTCCTGATTTCCACTCATTTGTTTCCTCCGTCTCACGATCGTAGAGGCGTCGCGCTTCCCCTTCCTCTGTCCCCGATCCCATCCCAGCAGCCACCCACTCGTTTCCTGCCTAGCGGCAGCGGCGGCAGCAGCAGCAGCATCAGCTGAACTCCCTTATTCTGAGCAGTGAGGCAAACATAATGAGAAAAGAATGAAGAAAAAAGGAGAAATGAAAAAGGTGAAAATTGTGGAAGATAAGGTGAATCCTGAGAATGATGATCCTTGGTCGTGGTTAGTTCAAAAAGGGATCAAACCTTCGTTTCTTTGCATATCCATATTCGCGCTATTGGTACGCGTAGCCATTGGTCTTCATCCATATTCTGGTGCCAATACACCACCGAAGTTCGGGGACTATGAGGCACAAAGGCATTGGATGGAGATCACTCTTAATCTTCCACCCAGGGACTGGTATCGCAACAGCAGTGTTAACGATCTTTCTTATTGGGGTCTTGATTATCCGCCATTAACTGGTTACCAGAGTTACATTCATGGGGTTTTTCTTGAAACCTTTGATCCTGACTCTGTTGCACTTTTTACTTCCCGAGGCTATGAATCCTATCTTGGGTGGGCGTTTTTTTGGGCTTTTTCATCGTTAGTGTTTCTTAATTTTCAATTTGTTGGTCTCTGATTGAAGTGTTTGGGTATATATGTGCAGGAAATTGCTAATGAGATGGACAGTTTTATCTTCTGATGTGCTGATATTCTTCCCAGCAGTTCTTTATTTTGTGTTAGTGTATCGTGGGATGGGCCAAAAAAGTGATGTAGCATGGCACGTTGCCATGATTCTACTCAGCCCATGTCTGATCCTAATTGACCATGGTCATTTTCAGGTTTTTTTTACCCTTTTTCCATTCAGTTTCTACTAAATTATATGAAGGATTATATTGGTTCTTAATATTTGTTCTGTTCCTGTTGCAGTACAATTGTATCAGCTTGGGTCTTACCACAGCTGCTGTTGCTGCAGCACTCTCTCAGAAGGATCTTGTGGCTTCTGTGCTGTATTGTCTTGCTCTCAACCATAAACAGGTGCTTTCTGGTTTAGCTTTTGTTTCAATCTTCCAGAGGATTTATGTACTGTTGATCAAATGTGTGGTTTACTGCATTCATGGACTGTGCTTTATTATTTCTCATTAAAAGCTCCTAGTCATATTGATGAACAACAAGTAACTCGAAACTCAGTTTTCAGACAAACCAATAATTCGTTCGTCAAAAGCCTTCTAAAACTATTAAAACTTAGATTTTATAACTGAACCAAAACAAACACTAATAAAAATGTGACGTGCCAATTATAACCCTAAAGCCCTATTTGTAGAAAAGAAGAAAATACCAATAAATTTAAGATATCCTAAATATAAAGATTATTATCAACCTCATGAACAGTAATGCTGAGAAATGCAACTGTATCAAATAAATTAACATGAAAAATGGATGCCACGACTTAAAATTTATTTTTTATTTATGCTCTGTAAGATGATGTTTATTTGTTGATTTATTCAGACTTAGATTTTTAATATGGATATTCCTATGTTTTTATGTTTTCCAGATGAGTGCTTATTTTGCACCTGCCTTTTTTAGCTATCTGTTGGGTAGATGCCTGAGGAATAAGAATCCGCTGCTTGAGGTGTCAAAGCTGGGATTGATGGTTATAGGAACATTTGCTATTGTCTGGTGGCCATATCTTCATTCAAAAGATGCCGCTTTGGGCGTAAGTGGCAGAATGAAATACTTTTCTCTTTTTTCTTCCTTTTTTTTTCTCTCTCTAAATTTCTTACCTCCCTAATTAACGTTCTGTTCTTCTATAGCTTGCTCCTATTAATTTTAATAGCGGTTCTCTTTTCCAGCTTTTCTCTTGCTTGTATATTTGTCTAATATATGCAGAATTCATGCTTGTCCCCAGAGAAATGGACGGTCCTATGTTATTTACCTTTTCAAAATGTTTTACTATTGAATACACTTGTACTTGTAGGATTTATTTTGGATTGGCAACACTATCTTTTGTTAATTTTTTGGTCAAACAAGAGGCTAGATGCTTCTCAATATTTAATCATATTGCATCTAATTGGTGTAGAACTAGCTTTCTAGTTGAACTCAAGTGGAAAAACAACGAATGAAGTTGTCCTTTCCTTGAGATTCATCTGTCAAAATATCCCATATTGTAATAATCTTGTGCTGGAGAGTATACTTTCCTGAGGACTAAATGAAAGTCATGGATCATTCCCATCAGGATGGATAAAAAAAATTTGAACACCCAGTATTTTTGTCATGTCCCCTTTACCAGAGGTGACGCATCATATTTATTGGATAGGATACTGAGTTACTGACACCTGTGCTGCTTTGCTGGTGCCTTTAAATAGCTTCAATCTTGTTGAAAGCCAATTTTCATTTTGGTTCTTAAGAAAAGAATGAGTACGGTAATTTCAACATTTAAGAATGACATTGTGATTTCCTCTAATATGGGTAACTGTTGCAGGTTCTATCTCGTCTTGCTCCATTTGAGAGAGGGATATATGAGGATTATGTGGCTAATTTTTGGTGCACCAGTTCAATGCTTGTGAAATGGAAAAAATTATATACTACACAATCATTGAGAATTTTTAGCCTTGTTGCAACCCTTTTAACATGTCTACCCTCAATGGTTCAGCAAGTGCTTTCTCCAAGTAGCAAGGGCTTTCTTTATGGGTTGCTGAATAGTTCTTTCTCATTCTACTTATTTTCATTTCAAGGTATACATTTCCTTTTGATTTTAATCCTTCTAGCCTTTTTTGTCCTTAACAGTTCTCAGCATCATTTCTTGTGATTGAAATATGCAGTGCATGAGAAGTCTATTCTGCTTCCGCTTCTGCCTCTTAGCCTGTTAGCTCTGGAAGAACCTCGTTCTTTGTTGTGGTTAACACACTTTGCGATGTTCTCTATGTTTCCTCTTCTACATCGTGACAAACTGGTTCTAGCGTATGTGGCTCTTTATGCTCTCTTTATCCTTCTCTATTTTGCACCTGGTGGGCCTGGTGGAAGATGCAACGGCAGCAAAACTCTTGATCATAGCCAAAAGACCAAGAAAGGCTGGGAATTCCTTTCTTCCATTGCTTTCCACCCACTTGTAACGGGCTTTTTCTTTTTGTGCTCTCTTATTCTGCATGTTATTTACCTAACTATGCATCCTCCAAATAAGTATCCTTTCCTTTTTGAAGCAGCGATTATGCTTCTCTGCTTCTCTCAGTTTGTTTTATTTACTCTTTACTTCAATTCAAAGCAATGGATGTTGTCGAAACATCCTACATCAAAAAATAAACAAAAGAAGCTTGTTTGATTATTCACCAACATTAACTTTATGAGAATTACTTCTGATTTTTATTGGGATGTTGCAGTAGACTCGTTTCTAAATACTTGATTGTTGATCAAAAGCATGCATTTGTGTATATATATCTATGTTTCTCGATGAATAGGTTTCTAATATGCAAAACTTTATGTTCAGCCCTTACCAGATGTTTTCTGCCTAAAATGTGTCAGGTATAATGTTGTAACGGAATGACCCATCATTACATGCCATATGATAGGAGTATCCCACCTTAAACCTTTTAGGGTTCTTAGCAAATAAGTGGAGTTTGCCAAAATGGAAAATTACATGATGCAAGTTGCTCTGCTTTCCTTCTCCCCTTACAAGAAGAAACAGAAAATGGGCAGTAGGCTCTAGAGCTCTTTCTAGCCTTTAACCAATAACAGAGTAATTAGTCCGTATGCTTCGTGGTGGATTAGACTAAAGAAGTGCATTGAAAGGTATCTACAAGCTTAGCATTCGTTGCTTCTGCTTAAACTTTAAACCAAACCAAAGAAATTGATTCTACTATAAAGTTTTCTTCTATTTTTCCTTATACTTTTCCATGCAAACCCAATCTTTTAAATCAATTTGGCGTTCGCCAACAATCTCTCTTCTTTGCTGTTTCACCCAATCAATTCAAAAAGGGTAAGTGCATTGAGAATTGATACAGGAAATAGGGCAAACAATAGAGCACAAATGTTCATTTACCATCAAAAAGTTCATTTCTTACTAACATCCTTGAAACACCACAAAAAAAATCCATTACATTTTGAGTTTGACTGTTGCAAAACGATAAACCAAAATTTAAATCTAGCCTTCACAGCCTAGTAATCGGGTAACAGACTTGGAGCAGCCCTATTTTCACAGGTCTTGGACACTCAAACCTGCAAACATGGAAAGAATGAGAAATATGGTAAAGATCAAGAACCTTGAGAAGTTATCAACATGCAAAGAAAGAACAGTAGGATCAAATGTAATGCTGCTGGTATTACAGCAATAGGAATAACAGTTCGTTGCTGCTACGTATCTACAATTCTATAGTATGCTTGTTCATTTCAAAAAAGGATGCTGGTTCAATCAAAACAAGAAAAATGAGGCTCCTCCATCATGTATATCTACCTGGAGGAAGGGACTGCTTCAACTTGTCAGCCTTCTCAGCATCAGACACACATAGTGTGTACAAGTATTTGGAGCAGCGGACCTTGAACTTGACAACGTCTCTGCTCTTCTTGATCTTTACAGAGCGTGCATCTTTCCTTCTGGCAGTGAGAAGAAAGTCCTTGATCTCATGAATTTGCTTAGGCTGTGCATCATAACATGTAAAACATTCACTTAACATAGGAACTTAGAAAATAAAGCAGATATCACAACCGCACAAGCAGAAAAGGTGACACTACCAAGCAAATAGGAAGACACAAATTGAAACTAAAAGATTTGAAAACTACACAAGCATTATTTAACAATGAGAACATAACCAGATATTTTAGAATGAACATGTCATAACTTAACAGGGATGCAGTAAAAACTTATGCAAACATTTCAACATTGTCCTGGCTTCCATCAAAGTTTATTGACCCTGACCAGTCTACTATTAAACAAATTTCTCATTATTTAGAAAAGTACATTATTGACAATGACATCCAAACAGAGCCAAACATAAGAATGATCGATTATATTACATAGTATCCAATTTCCTAAGATGCACCAATGAAAAAGGAGAAAATCACCAAGACATAAACCAGGAAGCATTCAACAGCAGACAAGTGATTAAAATTTTTATACAAGATCATTATCCGGGCACATTCGGAATCTGGAAACATGGGGTCTTTTAATACACAAACATCTTGATTAACACATTAAGTTCCAGCAACTCACTGCAACTAAACATCTATGCTAACAAATGGTACTAAAATATTTCGTACTTGAATCAGTAATTAAGCAGACCAAATGAATGATGCAAAACAAGACCATCAAACTGATCACAATTCTACAATCTCTAGAACTCTTAGGACCAACCCCACATCCTTCATTTTTCTCCTTTTAAAACACATAAACAATAACAAACTCTAACTCATCTTTATAAACACGATTTCCAGGTTCCACCCAACTTCAATTAGAAAAGAAAATTGAAAAAAAATGAAACAATGAAGCCAAAAACAGAATAATAAAAACATAAACAAAGATCTGAAGTATAAATAATCATCCTTAAACGCAAAAAGGAGGCACAGAGCATCAAAACAAGAACAGATTCTGAGATTTAAAGAGATAATTGAAGAGAAAAAAATGGGTTTTTACCATTTTCGATTAAAAGTTTATGGAGAGCTTCTTTACTTTGCAGAAACCCAAACAAAAAGCACGCTCCAAACCCTAATTTCTTCAATATTCAATTATACACAGGCTCACAAATCCCAGGGAAAATTTACCTTGAGTTTCCAATTTTACCCTTATCAATTAATTATAAGACGTTGGAGTCCTATTCTGAGCTGGACCGGACCTATCCCAATAGAGGGAGGGACTATTGGCCATACGTGGAACAAATAACGGATTTTGGGCCTAACGACGAAGGCCTTCATACTAAGAATGAGGATTAGGCTATGCTCTGAAAAAAAAAAAAAACATCTTCTACTTAGGATTTTTATTTGAAAATTTATTTCATGCACATATACTGTAATATTTTAATATGATTTTTAAATTTAAAAATTATTGATTGTTAAATTTTGTAGAGGTGTTCATAATTTAAATTAATTTAGATTTCAAGTTTGAATTTGACTCGATTATGGAAGACAAGTATAGTTCATAAGGATAATACTTTTATTATTAAAAAGAATAAATAAATTAAGAGAAATGATTTGATACAAAATTTTTTAATTTTATAAGTGAATTTAAGATGGTAACATATGTCTTATCTTTTTTAATTAGTATTTTTATTTTTTAAATATACATTAAAAGACATATATAGCAATCTTAATTTTGCTTGTAGAATTAAAAATTTCATTATCAACATATTTAATAATTAGTTTTTTTTTACTAGTGTCATGCACGGAATTTTTTGTTATATTTTTCATAATTTAAAATTTTAATTCATACTTATATAGATAAATAAAAATATTCTTAATCACTTATAATTTGTAGTTTAAAATTACGACAACCATCTCTATATATGTTATTAAGAAAGAATTTAAATAAGCATTATGAAAGTTTTGAATTATAAAAATAAAATTACATACAAATCTAAATAAGAAAGTCAATATCTCGTTTACAATTACATACACCCTTAAAAGTATATATTATTTTAGTACGAAAATTAAGATTTACACATGTTATATATTATGAAAGACTTTTTCTTATTTGATTTTGAAACTTTATGATATTCTTTGACGAAAATCTAATTGTTCTATCTTTTATAAAAAAAAAAAATTGATTGTGAGAAGAAATTATAAATACATATTTGATAATTATTTAATTTTAAAAAATTCTAAATTTTTTAAAATGTAGTTTATCTAAGTTTAATTTTAAATTAATATAAAAGATGTTAGCATAATTTTAAATTGAGATAAAATATTTTTCTCTTTTATTTTAAATTATAGGAAAATAATGTTTCAAAAAAAATCATAAGAAAATAAAGACAAAAATATTGATAAACAACAGTGGTTCAACCATAAACTTTATTATTTAAATTTATGTGAATATTGATTTAGATAGTGTATGATTTTTTATAATTTCTAAGATTTAGGGATTTAACTTTAAAAAACTATTGGAATTTTGTATTTCATATAAAGGGGTAAAAATGAGGTATAAGATATGTTTTTTCAGGCTTAAATTAGGATAACACTTATATATTTTCAAAGATTTGGATAAATATAAATTAGAATAATTATCAAATAAAGTTATTTAAAACTGTCATATGTGTCAATAATATATGTTGTCCACTTAAGTATCTATATCAACAAATTTTATCAGATTTCTATATATGTTGTAATATAATGTTATATATGATATATGATATATGAATTCTTATAAATTAAATATAAATAAAGTATATGTTGTTCATATAAAACATACTTTACTAATTGTAAAGAAATGATTCTGTCATGGTCCAAGCTTGTGAGCTTGGTTGGTGGCTGTTGGATTGTGGTCTAGTTTACATCATTGTATTCTATACAATAAATAAATTAATAAAATTAATGAAAATAAAATATTTGAGTATTTAATTCTAAATTGCTTATACTCAATGAGTCAAATAGAATACATTGAGATACAACACGAAATTGACACAACATAAGATATATATATATATATATATATATGTGTGTGTGTATGTGTGTGTGCGCGTGTTATAATTTTTTTTTTTTTGATATTTTGTTTATGGTCTTTTAGGCATATATGAGATGGACTTCTCTCATTGGCATTGACTTATTATTCATCACAAAGTCTTCAATCATTTTGCATAATTTTGTGTGGATTAGAAGAAGGAAAAAAAATGCAAAAAAGAAATCCATAATATGGGAAATGATGAGCAAATTATAAACCATCACAGGAAATAATGAACAGAAAAGGGTCTTATCTTATTATAAATCTAGAAAAGTTGTTTTCCACTACTCAATGTTGGGGTAAAGTGAGAACACCAAATGGTAACTAAAGGCAAATATGCTATTCAAGTCAGTACTAGACACAAAGCCAAACATGGAATTTGGTTGGTATTCTTTTGTTTGCCACCAAGGTCTCTTCTTGGCCCCCTCCCTTTTTCTTTATGTCAATTTTTTTTTTCTCTTTATCTGATATATTCATACTCATTAATCCATCTTTAAAAACAAACACTTCTGGTTTAACATTAATTTCCAAGGGAATGACATTGGATTTCTTCATTGATGGGTATGGACTTCAAGATAATTTATTATTGGTAAATTTTAAGAACATATTAATTTGTTTAATATATTTTAAACTTAAGGGTTTAGTTTCATCGCAATTTAATAAGAATCTACGAAATAATTGGCTTCTCTATAAACATGAACAAAAAAAATTATTCGATGCGAGTTATAGACATAAACATACGTTTATATAATGTATGAGGTAGGGATACAGGGAGCTATATCGATCCCACTTATCTTTAGAAAAAAAAAAAAAAAAACCCTAAACTCAACCTGTGGAACAAGGATGGTAGAAACTTGTTGGGAAGAGAAATTTTACTATTCTTAATACAATCAAGAGTAGAATGTGTAAGCAATTTCCAAGCATATTTTTAACTAAGAATTGGGTTTGAATTATTTTTTCCTTTGATTTAAAAAAAAAATTTGTTTCTTGGGATAAACAAGAAATAATTGGAAGCAATTCAAGATTAAGCTAGTAGTTACCCCTCTTTAAGCAGAGTGTTGAGGTTGATATTCACATCCTTTTTATATCTTAAACTTGATATTCACATCCTTTTTATATCTTAAACTTTCACATATATATATGCACTAATAAAGGAGTGGATAAAATTTTTTTTAGTATAAAAGACATCATACATTGAAAATAGAAAAAAAATATTATAAATGCTCAAATTTAAACTTTAGATCCGTTAAATATTACTTGTTCAAAGTATTTGCATGAAATTTTTTAAATATTGAATAAAAATTTATTAATATAAACTCGAAAGATGGATTTATCAAATATACACCGTAAGCTACCAATCAAGAAATGGAATAGGTAGGATAGGTTTATAAATTGAACTAATTAAAAGCTGGTAATTAAGAGCTGATATAGACTTAATCACAAGCTGTTTGGAATATTTTTTATTCTCAAGTTGAGCTTTAGTTAATAATAGTTAACTTAAACAATCAAATGATGTCAATTTTAAGTGTTTTAATTAATATTCGGATCAAATTGTTTTGACTTTTTAAAAAAATTTTATTAAGTAAATTTGAAGTGTAATTCACTCATATAAATATATGAAAAATTAAGCAAGTATTAAAAAAACTTGATTACATTTCAGTCAAGTCTGACTTAAATTTGACTCGAGCCAAGTTTTCAAGTCTCATGTATTAGGCTTTTCTATTGTATCCACTTGGCTCCAAAAATACAATATTATTCCATTAAACCTTAATCATGTAGGTATATCATATGAAGGTAATATGGTAAGTTACTTTCAATGAACAATTCATTATTTAAAAATAAATATATATTAGAAGTGAATTGCATTGCATCATGATCTTTTTATAATATTTTCTTTTCATTCACAATTTTTTAACATTAATTTGTTGCAAATCCTTTGATGCATTCATCAACTGGCATGGAATTTTATGTGACAAATTCCACACAAATTCTATTGGCAGTTTTGATGCATGTCAACTTCTCAAAGTGCTTTTCTTGGTTCTCCTTTTCTTGATGGAAGTAAGTTGAATGACTGATTCTTTGGTAAAATTTGGAGCTTCAAGGGCACACATGTTTAATGTGTGGTCGTTAAGTGAGGTTGTTAAGTGTGGGTTTTACTGTTACATATTATTTTTTATTTTGCTCAGATCGTTGTATAGCATCTTTGATGAGGTAAAGATTTAAATAAAGTTTCTAAGGTAAAGTTTGTGAAAATTTTTTTAATAAAAATGATTCAATAAAAATTAAAATTGAAAATTAAATTAATAGATTAAAAGGTTTTGTTATATAAATTAAGTGTATAAATTTTAAAAAAGTAAAATTTGATATATTTTTTAAATATGTATTTTTAGTAAAAATTTTGACAAATTTTACCGTTGAACAAGTTCTCATCAAATTTGAAATATAAATGATATATATTTTTAATAATTTTTTTCATATTATTATCTTCTCATTAAATTTTATCAATCCACATTGGTTTTAATTTTTAATTTTTATTAAATCAATTTTAGTAAAAAACTTTACAAATTTCAATTAAAAAATTTTATACGAATTTTTCCCTTCGTATTTTTATTAATTTGAGTCTTCCTGACTATTTATCTCTTTAATAAAATGATCTTGGCTTAGAAAAAAATTTCTCAAGTGCTTCTATCATATATATGCTTATGATGGCTCAAAATCAACATGAATAAATGATTAATTAATTCTTTATTAGGTGTATGCATAACAATGATCTTGCCTTAGAAAAGAAAATTTCTCAAGTGCTTCTATCATATATGTTTATGATGGCTCGAAATCAACATGAATAAATGATTAATTAATTCTTTAATCGGTGTATACACAAGAATCTAAGATTAACATGTTTCCTTTCTTTTCTTTTTTCATCCTTCTTGCCAAACAGAATGTAAGATTGAAATGAATTTGAAAAAAAATAAATTTGATTAAAATCGAATATAGCAATATTCAAAGGGAAATGTTTTTTGTGTATCTGGGTGCAATTTTTTTTATTCTAGAAAAGGGAAAGAAATTCAAAATGATAGATATAGTCCATATTATTTCTCATCTTTCAATCACAATATATAGTTCATATTTTTAGTTACAAAAATCTGAGAAAGGGATGAGGAAAATAAGGAAATTAATACAGGGAGCAATCCAAATTGGAATTTGACAGAGGCACAAATGCAAACACCTTCAAACAACAATAATATATCTAAAGCAGAAAAAGAAAAATCACAAACTCCAAAGCATAAAGCTGAAAAAAAGAGTGGACATTAGATAAAATACAAGCATGCAAATATATTTATGAAATGAGAAGAAGATATGAAAAGTGAACTCCATCTGCATGTTTCATTGCTTCCAAATTCGTGCATAAATGCAGTGCAAAAGCTTCACTTTTGGTTTCAGAACATAGAACTCATGGTTGCAAATTTGGCCAAATTTTTAGGGTTTCCAGGCTGATACCCATACTACAGGTTCCTCTTTCCATGTTAAGTAAAATCCTGTATCATCTTGATGTGGTTGTGCAAGTGCCCATCCTGTTCTGTACCTCTTTAGCAATGCCTTGACATCATCAACAACGTCGTCGCTAAATCCAACAGGTGAAAAAGCCTCCTTGAGCCTGTCAGACCATTGGCTCCCTCTCTCCCTTCTCTCACACTCTCCGCCACTGTCTTGGTCATGATCACAAGCCAAAACCCTAACTATACTCCTTGAGCACTCTCTCTCGAGCATCAACTTCTCATTGCTGGTTGGGATAAAGCTTTCCTCAAGCATCTCAAAGTACAATGTATAAAATCTTAGGCATTCTTCAAAGCACCTGACAAAGTCATATCGGGTGCTTGAAAAATCAGCTTCTTCTTCAACAACTGTGACAACTTTAGGCCCAAGGGATTGAAACATCTGGATCACAGCTCCTCTTTCCTCGACTGCAACTCTTCTCAAGGCCCCGATACAATTCACCGCGATGGCTTCATCCTCAAGAACACCGAGGGCTTCCTTTGTGAGTTCACCTAAGTGATTTAGCCCACTTATTACATTAAACTCGAAAGGCACACCCATTAACCTAGCAAATTTCTCCATTCGCTGGCTTATTTCCTTCATGACAGATCTTACAATATTAGCAGTTACCACAACAGTGAGCTTTAAGTGTGGTGTCTCATCGTTTCTTGTGGCTAAAGCTTCTAGCAAAGTAGGCCATTGGGTGCAAAGGGTATTGCTTATATCGATGATATGAAGTTTGGTTTCCCCATCTAAGGCTTCCAAAATTGCACCATTGGCAGCTACATGACCAAAAGTTGTCCATGGACTTACCTCTTGGAACTTGAGGATTAACTTCCTAGCTGAATCAAAGGAGTGGCTCTTTTCTGCAACTGAAGTTAGGGTTTTGTAGCATCGTTGCCCTGATTCAGTAGCCTTACAAAACAGTGCTTGCAAGAAATATGATGCTAGTTTCTGATCACAATCTCCGTAAGGGGAAGCGAGCTCGTTCAACATCCAAAGAAGGTGATGGATTTTGCTAGAATCCTTGTCGGAGATGGCTCTAGCACATTCCCTTAGAAGCCTTGAAGCCCATTTGTTACCCGTGGCACAAGGCTCACCGCCGGCGGAGTAGTCCGATGAACGGCTGGTTGATGTGTGGCTACTTTGGGGCTGATGAAGATGATTGTTGCTGTTGTTGTTGTGCATGTCTACGGCTACTGATGACCATTGCTCTAGGTGATCTGCTGGTTGGAAGGGAAGAGTTGTGTGGCTGCTGCTCCTCCTTTCAGAGTGAAGAGAGCTATTATGATATCCTACATGACTTGGGGAGGCCCCCTTTGACTCCTTAGGCACCTTTGCGGAACTTAATTTCATTTGAGTTTACAAATGGCCAAGTATAAAGCTTTAATTTAGGAACCATAACTATTATATTTGGGGTCATTGTCCTACTATAATTGATCTATTTGTTTTTGCTTGAGTATGATATAATAATAATAATAATAATAATATTTCAAGGTATATAAAATTATTTTGGAGTTAAGCTATAGTCATAACTAAGTATATGGTTTTTACATGCAACTTCCAATTACAAATTATAATCCTATATGTAACTAACAAAGTAAACTATTAGTAATATAATAAATATATCAAACATATGTTTTGGTTGCAAACATCATTGTGATCTGTTGATAAAAAGAAAAAACATATGTTCTTGTTGGATTCTAGTGTTTGTTTCTTGTTGTCCGAATAAACTATGCATTGGCATGATTGGGAGGAAAGCAAAGAATTAACGTTCTAATATAACTATATATCATGTTATATGATATCTATGGCTTAAATCAATATTTAGCACTGGTTTAGAGAGGCATTTCCAAGACCCACAATGGGGTCAAAATGAAAAAGAGAAGTGTTCATTAGTTTTGAATTATATAAAGAAAAAAAATGCTTTCTTCAATTAAAGCAATCTGGTTTATGGTTGTCCAGTTATTTATTAAAACAAGACCTGACAGAGTTTGTCAAAGCCACTTTTTTCACCATAAATTTATACATATTTATTAAGCGATATGGTGTGGTTTTAATTTGACATCGTTACCTGTTGTATCATAGAATTCCAGTGCATCCAGGATTTGCATATGTATTAGATCAAGATGATGTCATCATTGTTATTAACATTGGGGGGGTTCTTGCAATGAGGAATAAAACATTTATTCCCAGAAATAAAATATGTCGTGGAATCTCTATTTCCCAATAGGAACTGCATAATGCTAAAAGAAAGCTAACAAACAAATTATTTTCTTTTGCTAATACCAACAAAGAGATGATGATAAAGGCTATAATATTTGATTTACACAAGATTATTGCCACTTTAATTTGATTAGATTTTACATAAATTGAATATATATATATTTATAGGTAGACAAGAGGTCATAATTTGAAAATAAAGAAGGAATTATAGGTTTCGGAATTCAAATTCTAAACTTACTAAATATCATATTATAAAAATAATTATATGAATTAATTGAATTAAAATCTAGATTTATATCTAACTTTAATATAATACGAGGAATCACCATCATGTGTAGATAAATTTTTGTGTCTTGTCTCTTATGCTGTAATTATTATTTGTAGGGGAATTTTCATTATGTGATACCATGATGAATGGCACGGTAACTAGTTGTTGACAAAAGGTATGTAAAGAAATATTCCCCGAAGGGACATCTTAAAGGAAAAAAAAATTGACTTAAATTTGATGGTTTCAAATTTGAAATTTGAAATGTTAAATAATTGTGTGATCTATTAATAAAATATTAAAAACTTAATTTTAATGGATAAAGAAATTTTAAGTTCAAGTCTTACCAGTAGTTATTTGTTGAAATCATTTCGAATACACGATCTGCAGTCATTTGCCTTAGGCTATCAAGTACGGTAAATCTTATCATGACTTGGGAGACTCAGCAGCTTATCTATTATGGATTTTTTCTACATAAAATTTTAATTTTAATGATAAGAGTTCAATTATTGACAATTTCAAATACAAAAAAAAAAAAAATCATATGTACCAAAATAAAAAATGCAATTCGAATAAGAACTTTTATCTTGAACCTGAAGATAGTCTATCTTTTAATTTGGATGCAAATTTAGTATGAAGATGAACTTGAACATGCATGAGAGCTACCTCTATAGGGAGACTAATTAATTAAGCAAAGCAGGCCTATTTCCCTACGTGTGACCAATCACTGAATTGATTAAATAAATTGCAAAATGAAGGTGTTGCTGAATGATTGGACACTGTAAAATAATTCTTAAACAAATATTTGGACTAGGAATATGCAGTGCAGTGTATATAAAACTCAGCCACATGAATTTTTTTAATAATTATTGAGAAAATCACTTTCCCTTTCCAATATCATATTCAACATGTCAATATGTCTTTTGTTATGTTCTATATATTTCTAGGTTCTTGACTTGGTCAAAAATCACATAAAATGACTTGTTTCAAGTGGTACCTAATTGTCACAAATCATGATAAGAAATAAATTAATACTTGAGATTAAAAAAATGTAAGTTTGGGAAGATTGATTAAATTATGATTAATTCACTTGTCTAATGCTCAATGTTCATATACAAATGGAAGTCTTGACTTTCAATGAAGCAACTGCATAGTTCAATTACTAAGTTTTTGAGTTTTTTTTTTTTTTTAAACTTTAATTAGTCAACTTTGAAATAATAACAATCACCAATAATAATATAATGGATCTCTGATTTTACTTTTCATTTTATCATTTATTGTAAGTTTCATTTTAAATTTTCGATTAATATATTATTCACACTAGGTGAAAATTTTGTTATTTTATAACGATTGAGTGATCAAAATAATAATACTAACCAAATTACATTTTAAAATTAAATAATTAAAAGCAAAAAATCTCAAAAAAATTATGATCAAAAGGTAATTTATTTTTAAAGGTCAATAAGTTTGTTGCTCTCGAAGTAGACAATTTTAAGTTCAAATTTTTTTTTGGTTTGTAATAATTTAATTAATTATAATGGATGATCATATTAATATTATTTCTTATACTTATTTATCAAGGTTTTATAGGCAGATATAAATTAAAAAATATATAAGTTTGGAATAAGGTGAATAGACCAAAATTAAATGGTATCAAAATGAAGCTTATTCCTTGCTAATGATTAGACAACAAGACAAGCTTAGAGGGTCCTTTTTTTTTTTTTCCACACAATCATTGGAGAGCTGTCTTTGCCTTAGCTTCCTTTCTTAATTAATTATCTTCTTTGAAAAAAATAATGATAATTTTTATGTCGATTGATTTCATGTGGTCCTATATATTTTGCAGCCTTATTTGTCTGCATCTATGTTTCTCATATAACATTTTTTTGTTTGATCTGTAAAACATTAGATTTAGAAACAAAACAATGTGTTTAATAGTTGAGAAAGTTTTCCTCTACATTATGCTATACACAGTATATAATATATTTTTTTTAATCCTATAATTGATTAATTAGTAGAGATGTTCATGAATGGGATCGGATTGAATCAAATCTAATTTAACTTTCAAAATCTCTATGTTCAAAGTCATGCTCAAGAGATTAGATTTTTTAAAATATTAATATTTTAATATTTAAATGTATTTTAAAATTAAATAAAGAATAATTTTTTATAAATTAAATAATGACTTGGACTAATTTTAAAAAGTGTTATCTAAGGCCCGATCCAACTCATATCGAGCCCATCGATCTGGGCAAGTATCTCAATCCTTGGACATATCAATTAATTAAGATTAATAGTAAATTATTCAAATGAATAATCTTTATGAGGTTGGAACCCTTCTATGATTAGTATGTTTTTTTGCTTGTATTATTCTTTATTACAAATTAAACCAAACTTCATGATGATTATTTCCTTTCTCTCAATAGTACCTCATGCATGTCAACTTGATTTTCATATTTTAAATTTTTTATGGAAATATTTGAAGACATCATAAAACATATATATATATATATATATGTATTTAACTCAATGATAATTTCATATATCTCATATTCAAATTAAGAGTATTGTTGGGATCCCATTTTATTTTTTTCTTTGTTTCAATATAAATTTAACTATCAATTATATTGTATTCCTTCTAGAAAGTTCTAATATAAAAACACCAAAAAATAAAAAAGATTCTATTAATCCTTGTTGATATTAGATTTCGAATGAATGGAGCAACTTTTTTTTTTTTTTTTGAGTAAAGATTATAAAAGGTATAAAGTTCAAATATTGCAAAATAATAAAATCACAAAAATAATAATTTTGAATCCGTAAAAACATGTTATACATAATATCGTAACATTCATTTTGAGTGTGTATGCATATACATTTTCATAATTATTTTTTTAAATAAAATGTAAAGTATATCAAATTTATTGCAAAAATAGTTCAAAATTGTCATTATAGTATTAATATATATATGTATATAGTTTTGCCAAATAATACAAACTCACCCTACGAGCAACTTCATGTGTGAGTTTGGGCGTGATTGTGATCCATTACAATTGCCTTAAATGTTCAATTCATGATTAATGCTTTAGCTTCAAAAATAAACAAAAGCCTTTTCCAAAGGTCAAAAGTGTGATATATATATGTAGGTTAAGGCTTTTGATCTACTTAAAAAGGCTATTAAAGTTGCAGAAAAAGCTCAGCCGAAATCTCGCCAGGAAAGCGTTTTCCATGATTCAAAAGCTACTAGGCAGGCCCCCAATAAATTTTTTTGCCTAAATATCACGGAATGTGGGATTCGGATTTAGCTCCTTTTTGGTAAAAAAGTTGCAATCTCGATATAGCTGAAATTTAAATTTTAAATTTATTAAATATTATTTATAAAAAAAATTATATGAACAATTAAGATAAACTCTGAGTTCTTTTAGTCTATGTCAACCATTGAATCAAATTGTTGGATTGTAACAAGGTCTAAAAGAAAGTTTGGTAAAATATAAGAGAATATTGAAAAAAAATGTGTTAATGTTTAACAATGTCACTGCTGAATTACTTAATTAGAAATGTCCATGAAATTATTCTTTATCAGTCTCGTGCCTTCTGGAAATAATCATATACTTAAAAATTGGACAAACACCATTACTCTCACTAAAAACACCAAAAAAAGAAAAAAAATTGATAAAGGGTCCTACAAAGATAAGTTTGCCGGCATAAATTAATAATCACCATACCTTTTTATAAAGAGAATTCATGTTCCATCTACCACCCATCCATAACCAAAGTCATTTCCAGGAGACATGAAATAAAGCAAATGCTTTCATTGGTTCAATTACAATTTAGTGGAAAAAAAGTCAAGGGAAACTCCACGTGTGTCTTCTTTTTGCTATTTCTGTTCTTTTTTTTCTCATTGTTCTGTTCATTTTTGTTTTCTGTTGAGTTTCATCAAAGGACTATTAGG